AGGCAGATGGAAGGCTACCAAGGCCTGAGATTTGGGAATTGTTTGCAAAGTTGTTTTTAAAGCCTTGAGATTGCAAAGGAAGGATCAGAGGGTAATGGGAAAACAAAGGAAAATAGCAAATTCTTGGGAAATAGCTCTATTAAGAGAATAGGAAGAAAAGCCAACAGAAGAACAAAAGCAAGTAGAACCCAGGAAGGGGACAATATTGGAGAAACCAAGGAAAGATGCTTTAAGGAAGAAGTAAGATTCAAACCTGTTTCTTCCAGAAAGAACTCTGATGTAATGTTGGGAGTGGTGATATGTATTTTTTCTGTCATATCGTACATTATTTTGCTGAACTTACTGTTTAGCATAGTTTTTTACATGTAGTAGGTTCTGACAGTTGAGCGTATCTTAAGGGATTAATGGACTCTTGCATGCATATCTTTTAAGAATTAATATTTGGCAGAATGTTATATTAATATTGAGGCTCAGTGCACTGTGCCTCAATATTAATATAACATGCAGTCTGGTGTCCTGCTGGAATACTAAGTAAAATCTTTGGAAATAATTTGTGCTTTGAAGATTTACTACCAAATTACCTGATTCAGAATTCCTCTGTGATAATTCTTGATCTTTTTTCATTTTCTTTTTGAAATAGTAAAAATTCTAATCAGCAAAAATTGAAGGATCTCAAAGTGCAAGAAGGAAAACAATGGAATTTAGGCATTACATAAGTGCTGGTATTTGAGCTGTTTAGAACATAAATTATTTAAAGGCTATCTTCAAGGAATATCAACCTTTATCATTTTTATAGGTGCTTTCAGAAAACAAATAGGAAACTAGAAAGAAAATAACTTGCAACAAGTACAGGAAGACAAATATCAAAACACTGAAGCTGATTTGTTGGTATTCTCAATTGAAAGATTTCAGCAGCATTTTGCAGAAGAGTCAGGCTAGAGAGAATTGGATACTTTGGTGCAGCATTTTATCCAGGAAAGACAAAGGTGGGACTGATGGTGACCCTCCAGTATAGCACAAACAAAGAAAAATCTATACCAGAAATATTTTTTTCAGTCAATCAAATTTGATCAAGAATTTTCTTGAAATTTTATACTCCACTTGCATGACAAGAGTAGGCTTTTGAATACACAAATACTAATTATTGAGGTAAAGGAAAATAAACAAGTATAATCTAAAGCATTTATATCTTGTTTTCTTTGACATTATCATTAAAGATAAAGGTAACCTGCTTTAAAAGACGTACCTAAAAGTAGAGAGATTATCTGATGTGTTAAATTGATACTGCATGGCATCTTTATAATCACACCCATTAAATAGAGGTTATTAGAATAAAGTTAACTAATGGTTAGAGTAGTAGCACATGCACTTATGTAGAAATTTTTACATAGTTTGGAAGTTAACATTTCATTTTTGGAAAGAAGCAGGAATTATTTTGGTAAAATCTGATTTAGTGAAAATATTTGTTAGGTCTGGATTTTTTTTTAATATATTTTATTGATTATGCTCTTACAGTTGTCCCATTACCCCCCTTCATTCCTCTCCACCCTGCACACCCTCTCCAACCCACATTCCCCCGCTTTAGTTCAAGTCCATGTGTCATAAGTTCTTTAGCTTCTACCTTTCCCATACTATTCTTGCCCTCCACCTGTCTATTTCCTACCTACCATCTACTACTTATTCTCTGTACGTTTTCCTCCTCTCTCCTCCTTCCACTCCCCTGTTGATAACCCTCCACGTGATCTCCATTTCTGTGCTTCTGTTCCTGTTCTAGTTGTTTGCTTAGTTTGGTTTTGTTTTTGTTTTAGGTGTGGTTGTTAATAATTGTGAGTTTGCTGTCATTTTACTGTACATATTTTTTATCTTCTTTTTCTTAGATAGGTCCCATTAACATTTCATATAATAAGGGCTTGGTGATGATGAACTCCTTGAACTTGACCTTATCTGAGAAGCACTTTGTCTACCCTTCCATTCTAAATGAAAGCTTTGCTGCATAGAGCAATCTGGGATGTAGGTCCTTGCCTTTCATGACTTGGAATACTTCTTTTCAGCTCCTTCATGCCTGTAAGGTCTCTTTTGAGAAATCAGTTGACAGTCTGATGGGAACTCCTTTGTAGGTAACTGTCTCCTTATCTCTTGCTGCTTCTAGGATTCTCTCCTTCATTTTAATTCTGGGTAATGTAATTATGATGTGCCTTGGTGTGTTCCTCCTTGGGTCCAACTTCTTTGGGACTTTCTGAGCAGCTTCCTGGACTTCCTGGAAGTCTATTTCCTTTGCCAGAATGGGGAAGTTCTCCTTTATTATTTGTTCATATAAGTTTTCCACTTGCTGCTGTTTCTCTTCTCCTTCTGGTACCCCTATAATTCAGATGTTGGAACATTTAAAGATGTCCTGGAGGTTCCTAAGCCTCTCTTCAGGTTTTTGAATTTGTATTTCTTCATTCTTTTCTGATTGTATGTTTTTTTCTTCCTTGTGGTCCACTCCATTGATGTGAGACCCAGCTTTCATTCCATTGCTGTTGGTTCCCTGTGCATTTTTCTTCATTTCATTTATTGTAGCCTTCATTTGTTTATCTAATTTGTGACCAAAATCAACCAATTCTTTGAGCATCCTGATATCCACTGCTTTGAACTGTGCCTCTGATAGGTTGGCTATATCTTGGTCACTTAAAAGTACTGGCTCTGGGGCTTTCAATTCTGTTTGAGCCATCTTTTTTTTCCCCTTTGGTCTTGTCGTGCCTGTTATGTATGAGGTGTGGAGCCGTAGGTGTCCACCAGGGCGGGGCACCCCAGTTGCTGGGTTGTGACGCTGTATGTGGGGGTGGGGTCCGAGAGGGAACAGTGGCACTTGCTCCACTCTCCATCGGACCTCAGTCCCTTCCGCTGCTTCCCCCGAGCAAACTGGGCACCTCTGGTGCCCGTTCCCATGTGGGGTGGCTTGTGCACCCCGTGGGACTTTCCAAGGACCTCTCCTGTGAGGCTGGGAGTCTCTCCCTGTGCCTCAATCCCCACAGGTGTTTTCAATCAGTGCCCCGAGGCTCTATTTCCCAGAGCTGGGATCCTGGGTTGCATGCAGTGCCTTGCTTCAGAATCGCTGCCTTGCTGGATCTGCCAGTTGCCACCCCTTGGCTGGGGTCTGCCAGCTGCTGCGGTCTTGCGCGCCCAGTCCCAATGTTCTTTGCTCTCCGAGCTTCGACCAGCACCTGGCTGTCGGACTCCACCCCTCCTACCGGTCTGGATGAACGTGTCTATTTTAACTTCTTTGTTGTCCGACTTCCATAGAGTTCAATTTTCTGTCAGTTCTGGTTGTTACTCTGTTTCTAAATTGTTGTTGTCCCTATCTTGGTAGTGCGAGGAGGCACAGTGTGTCTATCTATGCCTCCATCTTGGCCGGAAATCTGAAGCTTGTTTAGGTCTGGATATTTAAATAATCCTTTTTATTGATAGTTTTAATTTGTGTAAGTTATATAATATTTTTATTATCCAGAATAGCTTAAGTAAAGCAGGAAATAATACATTTTGCTTTTCTAACATTTCCTTTCTCTTTGAGTGGTTATAGCAGTGTATAAGTTCTTATACTTATTTGTTGAATACTCTTACATGTCATCCCCCAAAAGTAAATTTGTTACTTCATGCTCAGAGTTATTGGGCCTGATTAATTTGTTTTAAAATAATATTTCTTTATTTTTAGAGAGGGGAAGGGAGGGAGAGAGAGAAACATCAATGTGTTGTTGGCTCTCAGGTGCCTCCTACTGGGGACCTGGCCTGCAACCCAGGCATGTACCCCGACTGAGAATCGAACATGTGACTCTCTGGTTCTCAGGCCAGCACCCAACCCACTAAGCCACACCAGCCAGGGCAGGCCTGATTCATTTTAAGATTCAAAGCCTTAAAATATATTACTGTCAAAATTTTTTTTTCTTATTTAGTATGCATCATCTATTTGAATGGAGGGAATAGAAAATGACCTAGTGGATTCAGTAGTGTTTATGCTGTTATACTTACTTTTTAAATATAGTATTAGGGCAAAAACAATTTCTAAAGCCTTCCTTTGAACAAAGATAACAATATCATAGAGTATAGCTGACCCTTGAAAAATGCAGGTGTTAGAGGTGCCTAGGAGCTCCCCCACCCCCACAGTCAAAATTCCATGTATGACTTTGTCCCAAGACTGAAGTACTAATAGCCTACTGTTGAAAGCCTTACTGATAACATAATCAGTTGATGAACACAGGCCCTGGTCAGGTAGCTCAGTTGGTTAGAGTGTCATCCTTATGTGCCAAGGTTGCAGGTTTGATCCCCGATCAGGGCACATAAAAGAATCAACCAATGAATGCATAGATAAGTGGAACAACAAATCAATGTTTCTCTCTCCTCTCCTTTCTTCTCTCTTTCTAAAATCAATAAATATTTTTAAAAACCATTTGATTAACACAGGTTTTATGTTATATATATTATATTCTGTGTCCTTAAAGAAAGCTAGAGAAAAAATGTTAAAATCATGAGGAAGAGAAAATACATTTACTGTCCCATATGTATTTATTGAAAAAAGTCTGCATATATATGGACATACACAGTTTAAACCCATGTTGTTCAAGGTTCAACTGTATTGATACTGTCAATAGCACATTCCTTCCCTTCTTCCCTAGATTTATGTATCTTTGATAGTAATGGACCTGAAAGTATATTTGAAGACGACTTAAAAAAAACCTCACACACAGATGTGATGTTTTCATTACTTTTAGAGAGGGGAGGAGAGAGAGAAGAGAAGAGAAACATTGATTGATGGCCTCCCATATGCACCCCAACCAGGGATTGAACCCACAACTTCTTGGTGTATGGGATGCTGCTCCAACCAACTGAGCACCCAGGCAGGGCCAAAGAGAGTTTTTATATATGTATTTTAATGTTCATAATATTATGTACCTGGTGAATTGAATACAGTGAAGACAAATAATTTTATGTATTTATTTAATTTTTGCATTTATGATTATTTGTAGGCGAAACTTAACCAAATTGTCCCTGATCTTCAGCCACATGCTGGCAGAACTAAAAGGAATCTTTCCAAGTGGACTCTTTCAAGGAGACACATTTCGAATTACTAAAGCAGATGCTGCAGAATTTTGGAGGAAAGCTTTTGGGGAAAAGTAAGTGACTCAAAACAATGAATTTGAATTATGAAGAACTAAAGCTTATATTGTGAGTTTAGTTTTTTTTTTTTAAGATTTTATTTATTTATTTTTAGAGAGAGGGGAAGGGAGGGAGAAAGAGAGGGAGAGAAACATCAATGTGTGGTTGCCTCTTGTACGCCCTCAATAGGGGACCTGGCCCACAACCCAAGCATATGCACCTGGCCCACAGCCCAGGCATGTGCCATGCATGTACCAAGCTGGTAGAACTCCCCTTTCTGCAAATAGGGACATGTTTTTAGATTTTTCTGCATCCCCATCATCCCACTCCCCATATGTCTTACTATCACATTAATGCACCCATCTGCACACAATTTTGCACCTAAGTATTGCAAACTGGTTGACAGGCAGATAGATGGCTGATGGATGATCCAGTGGAATTTAGATTTAGAGGAATTCTTTTAACAAATGTATATTGAGTACTTAATAGTTGGTAAGAATTGTTCTAGGAACTGAGGGTTCTGTAGGGAATGAAATAGAAGTGGTAGGCAGTAACAAATAAACAAAAATATATAAAGCTTATTTGAATCTTAGTAGTTGTCATGAAGTAAATGTATGGGGAGGTGTCACTGGGAGGGGCTGGGGAGCAGGGAGTTACTCTAGATCACCTCTGAAGAGGTAAAACTTTAGTAGAGACTGGACTGCTAAGATTGAGTCAGGGTGAACATGACCTGGGGTGAACATGCCAAGGTGAACAACCCAGGCATGAAAATTGAACTGGCAACTCGCTGGTTTGCAGGCTGGCACTCAGTCTACTGAGCCACACCAGCCAGGGATGAGTTTAGTTTTTTATTAATGAAATTTAAAACATGGGAAAACAGAGTAAAATAATGACTGTGTGTGTAAATATTATTCAGATTTGATAAACATAAACTCCTTTTTTACCTTTTTCTTTTTTGAAAGAAATAGGCCTGCCCTGGCTGGTGGGGCTCAGTAGATTGATTGAGTGCCATCCTGTGAACCAAAGGGTCACTGGTTTGATTCCCAGTCAGGGCATGTGCCTGGGTTGCAGGGGAGGTCCCCAGTAGGGGGAGCTTGGGAAGCAACCACACATTGATGTTTCCTGCTCTTTCTCCCTCCTAACCCTCTGTCTAAAATAAATAAATAAAATCTTTTTTTAAAAAAATGAAATAAGCCTTTGCAGATTCAGCTGAAACCTATGCTCTTTGAACAGTCTTCTCTTCCTTTCCCTATCCACTGTAGTTTTAATTGACATTCATATTTCAAATTATTTGCTATTGCAAGCACTGCTGCAGTGAACAAAACTGTTATTTGCCTTCATATGCAAGAGTTTCTCCTTATTCACATACCTAGGAGAGGAATTGCTGAGTCAGAGGGTTTCACATTTTCTGCTTTGTCAAATTGCTGTCCAAAGTAGTTGTACTAGTTTATGTTCCTATAAGTAGAACGCTTGAGTTCCAGTAGCTTTGCAATTTGGCTAACACTGGTAATAGAAATTGATACCATATTTTGCTTTATATGACGTGGGAGATGGTACATCTTTTCACATTTATGCCTAGTCAGGATTCTCCTTCTGACTTGCCTATTGCTCTTCCTGACTTCCATTTTGCTATTGAGTTGTTTTTTTTTCATGTCGTAAGGTATTAATTCTCTGTTACATTACAAATATATTCTCCTAGTCTATGGCTTGTCTTTTCACTTTGTTATGTTGTCTTTTGAAATACAGAAGTTTTAAATTCTGTAGCCAGTTTCATGAGTCAAGCTTATATTTTTATACATATTAATATAAATGTTCTGACATATCTGAAAATTTTAAAAAATCATCACCTAAGGATATGTTCATTGATATTAGAGAGAGAGGTGGGGGAGAAGAGGAGAGAGAGAAACAATCAGTGCATCCCATACATGCCTTGATTGGGGACTGAACCCTCCATCTTAGGCATATGTCCTGACAGGGGATCGATTCTACAACATTTTGGTGCACGGGATAACATTCCAACTAACTGAGCCATCTGCAGAGCTCTATCTGAAAATGTTTTTTATATTTTTATTTTTAAAGATTTTATTTATTTATTTTTATAGAGAGGAGGAGTGAGGGAAAAAGAGAGGGGGAGAAGTGTTGATGTGTGAGAGACGCCATCCATGGGTTGCTTCCCCTGTACCCCCAACTGGGGATCCAGCCCACAACCCAGGCATGTGCCCTGACTAGGAATTGAACTGGCAACCTTTTGGTTCGTAGGCTGGCACTCAATCCACTGAGCCACACCACCAGTGCATTTGTATCTGAAATTTTGAATCATAGAGGTGAAAAAGAAAAAACAATGTATAATTTTTCAGTTGAATATATAGATCCTAACATATCTCTTTAAATGCTACCTTTATTTATTTTTTAAATTAGGTTTACATATAAAATATAGAATAATTAGGAATTTAGAAAACCTAGTTGAAGAAGATGTAAGTTTAACTTTGTTCCTTTAACTGAATAACAACATTAGAAAAGAGTTCAAAACACTACTTGATTTTCAGACAAGGGACTATATAAGCTTTTCAAAGACTTTATTTGTTTTAAAGATCTTAAGAAAGAGAAATCCCATAATATCTCTTGCTAGCCTTATGGGGGGTTTATGTTCAGTAATTTCTTCCTCACCTGCATCAGAACTCTTCTTCCTGTACCTTAAGCCTATTTCCTCTTGTCTAGTCCTTGATGGTGTGGGTTCCCCAAAGAACTTACAATATTTTACATGGTTTTAAAAAATTAATTTATACATAGGCTTTCAGTTAGTAAAGGACTGGCCCATAGATCACATTTATTATAGAAAAAGAGTACTCTCATTTCTCTTTCTGTACTTCTCTATTAGAACAAGTGACTGAAGAAAGATGAGAAAGGAGATTAATTTGTGACATTATGCCAAAGAACAGTGGAAAAAGACTTCTCTATTAATTTACTCACTGGGAAGTTAAGAAATACATCATTTACTTCCTTTCTGTTCTCAATCCAAAATATAGCTCAGATTCCTTAAGAGCACTGAAATTGATTGTGAGAGCTTAATGTGGCTTTCTTTTCCTTGAGTATAGCAATGACCAGAATTACCTGTTTCTCACTCTGTGCCTTCTTAACCCATCCACCTTATCCCAGGACAGTAGTCCCTTGGAAGAGCTTCCGACAGGCCCTTCATGAAGTACATCCCATCAGTTCTGGGCTGGAGGCCATGGCTCTGAAATCCACAATTGATCTGACCTGCAATGATTACATTTCAGTTTTTGAATTTGACATCTTTACACGACTCTTTCAGGTAGGATACTAAAAAGTTGGTTAAAGTAGTTATTGCTGCTTTTCTGAAGAGGAAGCTTTAAAAGTTAATATTTGGGATTTTTCCTATCATAAAATTGTTTTAATTTTAGAAACTATAAACAAAAAGAGTAGAACTGCCTTGTATTTCATATTTCTATATAGATATGTATATGCACATGCAGTATTTTTGGGTAAAAATAATAACTATATAATCTGCTTTCTTCCCCTCACATTTATAATCTTTCTTTGTTAGTAATATTATTCTGCATCATTTTAATGATTGTAGAATGTCCAGAAAATGGGCATACAGTCATGTGCTACATAACAACAGGGATTTTTTTTCTGAGAAATGCATTGTTAGCTAGTTTCATTTTTGCACAAACACCATAGAGTGCACTTACACAAACCTAGATGGTACAGCTTAAATACCTCTATACATATGGTAGTCTATTGCTCCTAGGTTACAGACTTTTATAGTATGTTATTGTACTGAATACACTAGGTAGTTGTAACACAGTGTTAAGTGTTTGTGTATCTAAACAGAAAAGGTACAGGAAAAATATAGTATAAAGGATAGAAAATGGTACATCTTTATGGGTCAATTACTGTGAATGGAGCTTGCAGGATTGGAAGTTGCTCTGGTGAGTCATTGAGTGAGTGGTGAATGAACATATAAAGGCCTAGGACATTACTATACACTTCTGTAGACTATAAACATTGTACACGTAGGCTACATTAAATTTATAAATAATATGAGACTACATCAAGTACAAAAGAAAAGGATATACTCAACATTATGTGGTAAACACAAGCTATATGAAGCTGCTGCTGGCATGACAAGGCATGCTGTTTTGTTTTGTTTTTTAATGTATTTTATAGATTATGCTATTACAGTTGTTCCATTATCCCCCCCTCATTCCCCTCTACCCTGCACACCTTCTCTCACCCACATTGCCCCCCTTTAGTTCATGTCCATTTGTCACACATATAAGTTCTTTGACTTCTATATTACTCCCCCCGCACCCCGTCTATTTTCTACCTACCATCTATGCGACTTATTCTCTACCTTTTCCCCTTCTCCTCCCACTCCCCTGTTGATAACCCTCCTTGTGATCTCCATTTCTGTGCTTCTGTTCCTGTCCTAGTTGTTTGCTTAATTTGTTTTTGTTTTTGTTTCAGGTGTGGTTGTTTATAATTGTGAATTTGCTGTCATTTTACTGTACATATTTTTTATCTTCTTTTTCTTAGATAAGTCCCATTAACATTTCATATAATAAGGGCTTGGTGATGATGAACTCCTTGAACTTGACCTTATCTGAGAAGCACTTTATCTGCCCTTCCATTCTAAATGAAAGCTTTGCTGGATAGAGGAATCTGGGATGTAGGTCCTTGCCTTTCATGACTTGGAATACTTCTTTCCAGCTCCTTCTTGCCTGTAAGGTCTCTTTTGAGAAATCAGTTGACAGTCTGATGGGAACTCCTTTGTAGGTAACTCTCCTTATCGTTTGCTGCTTCTAGGAATTTCTCCTTCATTTTAATCTTGGGTAATGTAATTATGATGTGCCTTGGTGTGTTCCTCCTTGGGTCCAACTTCTTTGGGACTTTCTGAGCTTCCTGGACTTCCTGGAAGTCTATTTCCTTTGCCAGAATGGGGAAGTTCTCCTTTATTACTTGTTCAGATAACTTTTCCACACGTTGCTCTTCCTCTTCCCCTTCTGTTACCCCTGTAATTCGGATATTGGAACGTTTAAAGATGTCCTGGAGGTTTCTAAGCCTCTCCTCATTTTTTTTTTTTTTGAATTCTTGTTTCTTCATTTTTTTCTGATTGGATGTTTCTTTCTTCTTTCTGGTCCAAATCGTTGATTTGAGTCCCATTATCCTTCCCATCATTATTGGTTCCTTGTACATTTTCCTTTATTTCACTTTGTGTAGCCTTCATTTTTTCATCTAATTTGCAACCAAATCAGCCAGTTCTGTGAACATCCTGATTACCAGTGTTTTGAATTGTGCATCTGATAGATTGGCTGCCTCTTCATCACTTAGTTGTATTTTTTCTGGAGCTTTAATCTGTTCTTTCGTTTGGGCCATTTTTTTTGTCTTGATGCACCTGTTAGGTAGTGAGGGGTGGAGCCTTAGGTATTCACCTGGGTGGGGTCACCCATGTGGCTGGATTGTGATGCTGTATGTGAGGCAGGGATCCGAGAGGGAACAATGGCACTTGCCCCGCTCTCTGGCAGATTTCAGTCAGTTCCCCTGCTTCTCACAAGCAAATTGGGCTCTTCTGGTGCTGATTACCGTGTGGGTTGGCTTGTGAACGTTCTAGGACCTTGTGGGTCTCTCCAACGAACTCTCCTGTGAGGCTGGGAGTTTCTCCCGGCACCTCAGCCCCCATAGGTGTTTTCAGTCAGTGGTTTGAGTTTGAGGTTTTATTTCCCCAAGCTGGGACCCTGGGTTGTGCAGTCAGTTTCGCCTAGTTTATCTGTGCGTGAATGTGGGACCGCCTGTTCTGTCATCTGCCCCACCTCTGTGCCCAGAGTCTTCGCCCAGGCTGCCCAACTCTGCCTCTCCTACCAGTCTGGATGAATGTGTCTTCTTTAACTCCTTGGTAGTCAGACTTCCAGACAGTTCGACATTCTGTCAGTTCTGATTATTTTTTTGTTTTTAAATTGTTGTTGTCCTTCTTTTGGTTGTGGAAGGAGGCACAGTGTGTCTACCTACGCCTCCATCTTGGCTGGAAGTCCTACAAGGCATACTGTTTTACAGCAAACTTTTGATAAATAAAAAGAGTATACTTAAAGTAACAATAAAAAGTATTGTGTAATAAATATGTAAATCACTAATGTAGTCATTTATTATCATTAGCAAGTATTGTGTCCAGTTATAATTGTGTGTGTATACTTTTATTTCACTGGCAGCACAGTAGATTTGTTTACACCAGTATCACTACATACACATAACGTATTACACTACAATGCTATGGTGGCTATGACATTAGTGATAGTTTTTTTTTAGCTCCATTATAATCTTAATGGGACTACCATGGTATATGAGCTCAGTCATTGACCAAAAACATCATCATGCTGTGTGTTACTGTAATATGATATATTTAATTAGTTCTGTCATTGGACAATATGTATGTTTCCAACTTTTCTTCTATTATATTGAAATTTTTGACTTCCAGTCAAGATGGAGGTGTAGGTAAACATGGCTTGCCTCCTTGAACAACCTCAGCAAAAGTTACAATAAACTACAAAACAGCTATCACACAGAATTGTCAGACAGTTGAGCTATATGGAAGTCCAACAGCCAAGGAATTAAAGAAGTCATACTCATCAAGATTTGCTAGGAGAGGTACAGTTGTGAAGATGCAGAGAAATGGAACGGGCAGTCCCATATCCATGTGTGGCGGATAAAAATTGGGAGAAATAGGCTGGTAGCGAGGGATCCCAGACCTACACCAGACCACCCAGCCCAAGGTTCCAGTGCCAGGAGAATAACTCCCCATAACTTCAGGCTGTAAAATCCAATGGGGGTTGGGATGGAGAAAGAAACTGCAGGATTTTCAGGCGTTTCCTCTTAAAAGGCCTGCAATAGACTTAGAACTTACACAGACTCACTCCCTCTGGACACCAGCTGGAAGGGCACCAGTGGCAAATGGGGAGAAACTGAAGTGTCTGGTATCAAAGTGAATGCTGGGGGACAGTTTCCTCCCAGACCACACTCTAGAGGCCAGCTAGCAGCCATTATCCCTTTTCTGAGCCCTCCCCACACAGAGCCACACAGTGGCAACAACATTTCTGAGACTCCATCAACCTGGTTGACATTGGTTGCCCCATGGGTTGTCCCATGGGTTGTCCCACCCTGGCAAATACCTAAGACTGTACCCATTCTAACTTTATGGATGCACCTTTCTACAACAGGCCATGCTACCAAGACAGGGAGTCAAACAAAGCAGCTCTATCTAATACATAGAAACAAACACAGGGAGGCTGCCAAAATGAGGAGACAAAGAAATATGGTCCAAATGAAAGAAGAATACAAAACTCCAGAAAAAGAACCAAACAAAATGGAGATAAGCAACCTATCAGACACAGAGTTCAAAACACTGGTTATGAGGATGCTCAGGAACTCATTGGGTATTCAACAGCATAAAAAAGACCCAGGCAGAAATGAAGGTTACACTAAGTGAAATAAAGAGAAATTTATAGGGAATCAACAGTGGAGTGGATGAAAATCAGAATCAAATCAGTGATTTGGAACATAAAGACGAAAAAAACATTCACACAGAATGGCAAGAAGAGGAAAGAAACCAAAAAATGAGGATAGTGTAAGCAGCCTCTGGAAGAACTTCAAGCGATCCAACATTTGCATCATAGGGGTGCCAGAAGGAAAAGAGAAAGAGCCAGAAATTGGAAATGTTCTTGAAAAAATAACGAAAGAAAATGTCCCTATTTGGTGAAGGAATTAGACATACAACTCCAGGAAGCACAGAGAGTCCCAAACAAGATGGATGCAAAAAGGGCCACATCAAGACACATCATAATTAAAATGCCAAAGGTTAAAGATAAAGAGAGAATCTTCAGAGCAGCAAGAGAAAAGCAGAGAGTCACCTACAAAGGAGTTCCCATAAGACTGTCAGCTGAATTCTCAAAAGAACCTTTGCAAGCTGGAAGGGACTGCCAAGAAGTATTCAAAGTGATGAAAAGCAAGGTCCTACAACCTAGATTGCTCTATCCAGCAAAGCTATCACTTAGTAGGGTAGATAAAGTGCTTCTCAGACAAGGTGAAGCTAAAGGAGTTCATCATCACCAAGCCTTTATTATATGAAATGTTAAAGGGGTTTATTTAAGAAAAATATGAAGATCAAAGCTATAAATATTAAAATGGCAGCAAATTCACAACTATCAACAATTGAATAAACTAAAAACAAACTAAACAAAAAAGAAACTAAGCAAACAAGCAGAACAGAAAGAGAATCATAAATATGGAGATTATTTGGAGGGTTATCAGTTGGGGGGAGAAGGTGTAGGGATTAAGAAGTACAGATTGATAGGTACAGAATAGATGGGGTTGTTAAGGACACTATAAGAAATGGAGTAGTCAAAGAACTTAAATGCATGACCCATGGACGTGAACTAAGTCGGGGGATTGCTGGAAAGAATGAGGGGTACTGGGTGGGAGGGCAAAGGGGGAAAAGGTACTATTATACAACTATAATTGTATAATCAATAACTTTGAAAAAATTCTTGACTGTTAATATTGAGATGTAGTAATGCTTCAAGAAGAACTGAAGTTTTTTCTTCTTTTTTTAATAATATATATGTGAGACAACTTGAATAAACTTTTATTTGGAACTTCCTTTTTTTAAGTATATTTCATTCATAATGCTATTATAGTTGCCCCAATTTTGTTTCCCCTTTATCCCCCTCCGCCTTTCACCCACCCACTCCCTAGCATTCCCCCATTAGTTCATGTCCATGGTTGTACATATAAGTTATTTGACTTTTTCATTTCCTATACTGTTCTAAATCTCTCCCTCTCTATTTTGTGCCTATCAGTTATACTTCTTATTCCATATACCTTCCCCCCTTCCCCCCCCCACCCCATAATCCTCATATGATCTCCATTTCTGTGATTCTCTTCCTATTGTAGTTGTTTGCTTAGTTTTTTAGGTTCAGTTGTTGATATATGTGAGTTTGTTGTCATTTTAATGCTCATATTTTTATCTTCTTTTTCTTAGGTAAGTCCCTTTAATATTTCATATAATAAGGGCTTGGTGATGATAAACTCCTTGAACTTGACCTTATCTGGGAAGCACTTTATCTGCCCTTCCATTCTAAATGAGAGCTTTGCTGGATAGAGCAATCTCTGATGTAGGTCCTTGATTTTCATGACTTGGAATACTTCTTTGCAGCCCTTTTTTGCCTGCAAGGTCTCTTTTGAGAAATCAGCTAACAGTCTTCTGGGAATTCCTTTGTAGGTACTTGTCTCCTTTTCTCTTGCTGCTTTTAAGATTCTCTCCTTATCTTTAATTTTGGGTAATGTAATTATGATGAGCCTTTGTATGTGCTTCCTTGGGTCCAAGTTGTTTGGGACTCTGAGCTTCCTGGACTTCCTGGAAGTCTATTTCCTTTGTCATATTGGGGAAGTTCTCTTTCATTATTTTTTCAAGTAAGTTTTCATTTTCTTGGTCTTTCTCTTCTCCTTGTGGGAACCATATGATTCGGATGTTGGAACATTTCAAGTTTCCTAGAGGTTCCTCAGCTTCTCACTTTTTTTCTTCATTCTGTTCCAGTTGGATGTTTATTTCTTCCTTTTTTTCCAAATTGTTGATTTGAGACCTGGTTTCCTTCCCTTCACCTCTCTGTGTATTTTCCTACATTTCACTTTGTATAGCCTTCATTTCTTCCTTCATTTTGCGATCGAACTTAATAATTTCTGTGAGCATCCTGATTACTTGTGTTTTGAACTATGCATCTGATAGTGTGTTTCTCTCCTCATTGGTTAGCTCTTTCTGGAGTTTTGATCTGTTCTTTCATTTGGACCATATTTCTTTGTCTTGGTGCCCCTGATATGTTGTAAGGGTTGTTATAATCCTTACTTATTTATCAGGGTGGGGCAACCCACATTGCTGCGTTGTGGCACTGTATTTGGTGGAAGAGTCAGAGGGGGGATAATGCCACTTGTTTGGCTCTTGGCCCACTTCCTATCACTTCCCTCGTTTCCCAGAAGCAGATTGTGCCCTTTCTGGTGCTGAAATCCAGGTGGGTGGGTATGTTCTAGGACCCTGTGGGTCTCTGCAGTGGACTCTGCTGTGAGACTGGGAGTTTTTTCCGCCTTTGCAAGCCCCACGGGTTTTTACTGCCAGAGGTTTTGAGGCTTTAGTTTCCCACACTGTAAATCCTGGGTTGTGTTGTCTGTCTCACTCCTCAGTTGTTCCTCCTGGCTTGTCCGCTCTGAATGTGGGAAATCTTCTGCCAGCTACCACGTCACCCACCCAGTCTGCCACCTTGTCTGGTGTCCTCTACACCCTGGCTCCTGTCTCTTGCCCCTCCTACCAGTCTAAATGAATGTTTCTTCTTTAACTCCTTGATTGTCAGACTTTCATGCAGTTTGATTTTCTGGCAGTTCTGGTTGTTTTTTGTTTTTTAAATTGGTTGTTATACTTCTTTTGGTTATGTGAAGAAGCAAAGTGTCTCTACCTATGCCTCCATCTTGGCCAGAACCCCCTTTATTTGGAACTTCTTAGTTGTACATGTAGTCCCTGCCTTTTTCTGTTATTTTTTATGTTGTTATTTAACATCACTACTATTAGATTAAAAATTTTTTAAATTTCATTTTGTAAAGTTAAGTTTTCCCTGTAAGGATATATTCATTTCTTCTTAGCTTTTTAAAATTCTTATTGCCCAGACACGTTTGTCTTCCCTCACTGTGCAATTGAAAATTTGTGACAATAAATGGTGAGTTTATAATTGTGAATTGAGGTTCTTTGTCGCTCTGAGAATGATTCTGTGTCTTGAACAAAATGGTCTTACTGATCTCTTGTTTCCTTAGCCCTGGTCCTCTTTGCTCAGGAACTGGAATAGTCTTGCTGTAACTCACCCTGGTTATATGGCTTTCCTGACATACGATGAAGTAAAAGCTCGGCTCCAGAAATTCATTCACAAACCTGGCAGGTCAGTGGCATGAATCAAAGAGGCTTACTCTCCAGAATTTTATTTTCTTATGATCTTTGTTAATATAGAGGAAACACAGTTTTTTATTAGTTCCTCAGTGGCTGTGCTTCTGCAGTAAGATTGATGCCTGTTTATCAGAAGTATTGACTCATTGAGATCTGATGATGCGATACTTTCAAGCCACTTTAGAATTGGGCTTATGTGTCTTTTGATTTTTGGCCTGGAGTCATTGGCCTGGAATCTATTATTGATGGCCCTTTTGATTTTTGTCCCTGTCTACCCTAACATAAACTTACTGTATATTGAAGATTCTATTTATCTCTATTCTCAGTTACATTTTCCGGCTAAGCTGTACTCGTCTGGGTCAGTGGGCTATTGGGTATGTCACTGCTGATGGGAATATTCTCCAGACAATCCCTCACAATAAACCTCTCTTCCAAGCACTGATTGATGGCTTCAGGGAAGGCTTGTGAGTACCTACCTACTGTTTACCATCTGCTAGAGTCTAGGAACTTTATTCATCATTTAATGATGAATAAAACTTCATCATTAATGACTTTATTTGGGTTTCTTCTACATGTTAAGAGTCAGGAAACGAATTAATAGTTTATATTCTTTTGACCTTTAGGTTCTGTAGAATTTCTGTTTTCACTTAAAAGGGATTCCTTGAGTGAAATAATTTTTGTCTAATGGTTCATTTATTACTATAAGTAAAGTTTATCTTTTTTCCTTTTGCAAATGTTAACTTATATTTAAGTCTGTGTTAGATGTAAAATTATACCAGTTATCAGAAAATGTTACCTGTTATTTAACTAGTCAACATTAGAGTGATTAGATTTTTGCTCCTAATGACAGCAGGCTCAGTGGCCTTCATCCTGACTTCACTTTGGTTCAGCAGCATTTCTTCAGGCTTTGGGCACTTGTAATCTGTGCTAATATTTATGACTAAGTCCTTTTATTCCAGAATTGCTGTTCCTTTGGGAATTCAAATTGATTATCAATTGGTAAGCACTGAAAGTACTAACAGTTAACCAGGTATCAGAAAACTACTTATATTTTAAGGTGATTAGTCCATTGTCCATTATGTGTCATCTTCTATAGTAGCATTAGAGTTTCCCCTAATGCCGTACAGTTTGGTGCTTGAAGCTTCCTGGTAGATGATCTTGTGGCTTAAATTGCTTCCTGTTACTTTTCTTTTAAATTGGTGTCTGTCAGTGGTAAATCTGTTAAAAAAAAAGGGGGGGGTGGGGATGCTTCAGGTATTTGGTCAAAAAGCAAATGAAGTTTGCTTTAGCCGGGTTGCCAACTGGTTAGAGCATTGTCCCCATATGTTAGATTGTGGGTTCAGTCCTGGCTAAGGCACGTACAAGAATCAACCAGTGAATGCATAAATGAGTGAAACTACAAAACTCTCTCTCCTCTCCTCTTCCTCTCTTCCCCCACTTCTCTATCTCCCTCTCTTCCTTCCTTTCTTTCTCTCAAATCAATAAATTAAAGTCCCCAGCCAGTGTGGCTTGGTGGTTGGAGCGTCGTCCTGTAACCGAAAGGTTGCAGGTTCGATTCCAGGTTGGAGCACATGCCTAAATTGTGGGTTCATTTTGGTCCAGGTGCAGGAGTTTGTGATCCCTGATCTGGACAAATATAATCCCCAGTCTTGTGCAGATCCTGGGTCTGGGTGCATACAAAGGCAACCGGTTGATGCTTCTCTTGTATTGATGTTTATCTCTCTCCCTTCCTCTCTCTCTCTAAAAAATGCAAATGAAAATATGCTAGGGTGAGGATAAGAAAAAAAATTTTAAAGCAAATGCAGTTTAAATTAAGAATTTATACTTTGTGGCCATCCAGTCTAGCTTTTTTGATACAACCAGCTCTAAGATAATTTTTTATTTTTGAAGTGTTGTTTAAAAAAAGAAATGAATATATGACATAGACTTTCATGCCTTGCAAGGCCTGAAATATTTACTGTCAGTCCCTTTACAGAAAAAGTTTATAAACCCCTCAATTAAAAAGATGTAGTTTGTGGCAATGTACCCTGTAGAAAGAATGTCAGTGTTAGGAGAATATCTTCTTGGAACTGTTCTGTGTTATTTATTTTTTTTGAAATATTAGTAAGATTTACCTTTGCGCTTTCCCAAAGTTTCCCTTTTATAGCAAGGGAATCCTAGATGTCATTTGTTTCTGTTAGCAAGCAGTGATCAATGGCTTTAATAAAATGCCAAGGCTGATTACTCCTTTTACAGCTATTTGTTTCCTGATGGACGGAATCAGAATCCCGACCTCACAGGCTTATGTGAACCAACTCCCCAAGACCACATCAAAGTGACCCAGGTGAGTTTTGTTTTACATTATAACCATATCAGTAGAGTCAAGCTTTTGTATGGACTTAATAGGATTGACAGTAGAATTGTACTGAGTGATTGGAACACTTAATTTTAAACCATTGACTAGATTAGTAAATTTATGTTGCATGTGGTTTTCCTTTAAATCATGTAGCTTTTAAAATAGGACCAAAGCTAGGTGATTTCTGTTTTATGGGAGAACATTGACCACTGCTATGAAACTTTTATAAAAGCAAAATTTGTATAGACACTACAAATATTTCTTTAATATTTCCATTTTTAGCATTTATGATTGCAGTCATTCATTTAACAAATATCTGAAACAAGCTGAGTAATCTTTTTTTTTTAATTAAAGGAACAATATGAATTATACTGTGAGATGGGTTCCACATTCCAACTGTGTAAAATATGTGCTGAAAATGATAAGGATGTAAAGATTGAGCCCTGTGGACACCTCATGTGTACGTCCTGTCTTACATCCTGGCAGGTATGGTCCAAATCATACATTTCCTCAGCTGTGTAATCGCTCTGAAGAATTGGGGATTGTATATGGCCTGGTTTGCGGGGTAGGTTTTAAACTTTTGATTTCTGTTTTCATCTCTAGGAAATGTATTTCCTAGTGGATGAGTATTTTAGGATGGATATTTTAAGTACTTTCAGATGTGCCTGTTACCAACTCTTGTTTCCTCTGTAGGAATCAGAAGGCCAGGGCTGTCCTTTTTGCCGATGTGAAATTAAAGGTACTGAGCCCATTGTGGTAGATCCATTTGATCCTAGAGGAAGTGGCAGCCTATTGAGGCAAGGAACAGAGGGAGCTTCTTCCCCAAATTATGATGATGATGATGATGAACGAGCTGATGATTCTCTCTTTATGATGAAGGAATTAGCTGGTGCCAAGGTAAGACTGTAATTTAAGAGACTATGGCAAAATCCATTATGAGTTGTATTCTAAAACTATAGAGCACTTAATGACATCCAAAGTAGCTAATATTTATTGAGCACCTACTATGTCAGAGATACCATGCTAAGAACTTTTCTTATTTTTTAAAAAAATTTTTTATAGTTTTTCTTTTTCTTTTTTTTTTAAATTTTACTTATTTATTTTTAGAGAGGGAAGGGAGGGAGAAAGAGAGAGAGAGAAACATCAATGTGCGGTTGCTTGGGGCCATGGCCTGCAACCCAGGTATGTGGCCTGACTGGGAATCGAACCTGCGACACTTTGGTTTGCAGCCTGCGCTCAATCCACTGAGCTATGCCAGCCAGGGCTGAACTTTTCTTATTTTAACTCATGTAACCCTCTGAGTAGGTACTATTATTGTCATTTAACAGATGATGAAACTGAGGCACAGAAAGGTTAAGGAATTTGCTGAAGGTCACACACATAGTAAGTTGAACCAGACTTTGTGACCAGGCATTTTGACTTAGGCCTAAGCTCTACTGTCTATATTCTAAAATTGGACTTCACTCAGATAGCTTGGTGCAGAAAATGGAGAGTAAAAGAACTGTACCCTATTTTGCTACTGTGACTAGAATATTTTATTCTTTCTTCTAATGGAATCTTGGCATTAGAAAGTTAGCTTTGATGGGGAGAAAGGAGGCACTGTTAATAAACAAATAAATGGCAACTAAAGTGATTGCAAGCTGGTAGGAGGAACAGAACATAGAGAAACAGAACAAACTGGAAAGGTCCTAGTGAAGATAAGAGAGATAAAGGCTATAAAAAGGAGGTGATCAAATTCTGCTACGTCAGATGGTAGGGTAAAACAGGGATTTATTCTTTAAATCTTAGAAGTCAGTTAGTTCATGTAGATTTTAGTAATTATAGGGCAAACAAGATTCTAATATGCTGCATATTGTCTAGTTTAGAATGTTTCAAATTCATGTGGTGCATTTCCTTGGTACAAAAGAAGCCAGCACCTGACTGCTTTGCACATAGTGGGTGCCCAATAAATTTTGAAAGCATGGATTTTATCTCTTAAATGACCATATTCATTGTATCTTCTCCTCTGTGTCCTCAATGCCATTGCCTTATTTCAGGCTCTCATAATCATCTCTTCTCTCTGCTGCCAGAGTCATGGATCTACAACACAAATCTTACCACCTTATTCCTTTTCTTCACACTCTTTGATGACTTTTCATTATTTAATGGGTTAAACTCATTCTTCTTTCCAGATACTTTGCACCCATAATCCTTTCTACTTTATGTTTTGTGTTCCTGCAAGGCTGAACCTCTAAAAACTTCTTTTTGTCTTGATAGTTTCTGTGTAATGTAGCTGTTTTCACTGCCTAGGAAACCTTTCCAAACTGTACCCTGCTTTCCTGACCCCCAACTCACTCACATGTATTTATACACGTACAATCTAGGTTTGCCCTGATGTTTCTGGGATGTTGTGAATATGTCTGCTGTAGAACTTACCATCTTGTAATAATTTATTCAACATATTTTCCATTGTAAGTTCCTAGAAGGGAAGAGCCATGTCTCATTTGTAATTAGCTTCTCAAAATTGAGCACATAGTAATTACTTTGAATGTTTGAGATTTAAAAACACTTTAAAACAGGAGTAGATAAATTTATCTATGCCATATCAATAATGGATAGTTGAGGAAATCTGGACTGTTTGGTATATTTTTGTGTTTTTTTGAAGTTGATAGTAGTTTTGGCCCCTCATATAAGTTCTTTGATTTTTTTTATACAGATTTTATTTTTTTATTTTTAGAGAGGGAAAAGGAGAAAGAGTGGGAGAGAAACATTGACATACAATAGAAACATTGATTGCTTGCCTCTTGTGTGCCCCCAGCCAGGGTCCTGGCTCACAATGTAGGCATGTGCCCTGACCAGGAGTTGAACTGGTGACCCTTTGGTTTGCAGGATGATGCCCAACCCACGGAACCACACCTGTCAGGGCTGGTTCCTTTTTAAGATATTCATTTGACCATGATGTGAAAATTTACTGGCAACTCCTGGACTGTTAGGGTATCTGAACAATAAGATAAATGTGATCTTTCATATATGTATTTATTTGGAATTAAAATACCCTTTTATTTTCTTTATGAACTTTTATAGATGGTAATACTCATTGTGGAGAAACAGGCACTCACAGTCAGTGTTGATGTGGGCACAAATTAGTTCAGTCTTTTTGAAGAACAGTTTTGACAAACTATCAAAATATATATTGTTCACAGCTTGAATTAGCCATTCCATTTCTAAAAATGTATCCTTAAGAAATACTTAGACAACGCTGGCTGGTGTGGCTCACTTGGATCATGGTCCTCTAACCTAAAGGTAGCAGGTTCGATTCCCAGTCAGAACACATGCCTAGGTTGCAGGTTCAGTTCCTAGTTGGGGGCGTTTGAGAGGCAACTAATCCATGTTTCTCTCTCATACTGTTTTTCTCCTTTTCTCTCTCCTTTCCTTCACCTCTCTCTAAAATCACTAAGCATGTCCTTGGATGAGGATAAAAAGAAAAAGAGAAAAAGAAACATTTTTAGACAAGTGCACAAATCTGTAGGTGTAGTTATTCTTATAGCATTATTTATAATAATAAAAAATTAAGAACAGCTCACATGACCACATATGTAAGTATTCTATTGCCCATAACAGATTACTACAAATTTAGTAGTTTAAAAGAACAAATTTATTCTCCTATAGTTCTGTAGGTCACAATTCCAACACATGTCCCATCAGGCTAAACTCAGGGTGTTAGCAGGTCTATATTTCTTTATGGAGGCCCTAGGGAAGACTCCATTTCTTACTTATTTGGGTTTGGCAGAATTTAGTTCCCTTCCAGTTGTAGGATTAAGTTCCCTGTTTCCTTGCTGGTTGTCAGCTGACAGTATTCTCAGCTGCCAGTGGTCACTTGCATGCTTTGGCTCCTGGACTCCTTTTTACCTTTAATCTTGTCTCTCTGAGGTTTTCTGCTTCTAAGGACTCCATAGTTAGATTGGGCCCACTGCAGATAATCTAGGATAATTCCCCCATATCCATATCCTTAATCACATTAGCAAAGTTGCCAGATAAGGTATCACATTTACAGATTCTGGGTTTTAGGGTGTGAATCTTAGAGGGCAGCAGCAGATATAATGGAACACTCTGCAGAATGAGTTCAGTTTTCATGTACTTGAGAGGAAAGCTGTCTAAGGTATATTGTTTAAAAAATAACTATATACTGTTTAATATCACCTTATTTCTATAAAAATAATTTGGTTGTAAAAAATTTTTTTACGTACATGTGGAAAAAATTGGATGACTACACAGCAAATTACTATTTCTGAGTATACAAGTTCAGAGGACTTTAAATTTTATGGAATATTTGAGTTTTTTTTTAATTTGCAGTTAACATATTGCTTTAACAAAGTATTTATTTTGCTAGGTAAGTAGCTCTGTGGTGAGTGCTGTATGGGATAAGAAACCTAAGACAAAGGCCCACAAGAAGCTAGTAGTTTTATTTGGAAAGAGAATATATATGCAGGTGAAACACTATTTAACACAAGGCTGACAGTATATATTGGTCTCAGTTGTAGAGTACATGTTCTTTAAGTGTAAAGGACCTTAGAGGAAAGATGAAAATGAATGTTTTTTTCCATAGCTGATAAATATGAAAGACACTAAATTTACTCATTTAAATAAAAGTAATAAATGTATGCTGTAGCCCTTGGACAGGTAGCTCAGTTGGTTAGAGCATTGTCCCAGTACGCCAAGGTTGCAGGTTCAGTCTTCTGGTTACGGTACATATAAGAATCAACTGATGAATGCATGAATGGGTGGAACAAAAAATCAATGTTTCTTCTATTTCTGTCCCCCATTCCCTCTCTTTCCCTCTCTCCCTCTCTCTTTCCCTCCTTCTTCTCTCTAAAAAAATTTTTTTTAAATGTACACTGTAAAAATTCAAGTAGAGAGAAAACAGCATCATTTATTGTTACTGAGCAGTTTGGTAATTTAGTCTTTTCTTAATGGACATTTCATATTATTTGCAGGCTTATGTATATATTGGCATTCTTTTGCGTGCCTATCCTTAGGGTAAATTTCTAGTAGTGTAATTGCTGGATAAAAGAATTTTTATGGAAAAATCTAAACTGATAGAGCAGAGGAATATAATTAGGGAAGAGGATACATGGAAATTTCACAAAGGCAATGGTATTTCATTTCTTATCTGAATGATAGGTACTGCTTGGGTGTTTTATTATTCTTTGTATTTGGTAGTTTGTATAAAGTATGAGTAAAATATTTATATGAACAAAATATTTTAGTAACAATATTTTACATCTCTTGATAGATATAAATATTTGTCACCAATTTTTGTCCTTAGATCACTCCCAAAGGTATATGAGACTATGAAAGTGCCTGTTTTGCCACATCCTGGTAGCTATTGGTTATTGTTTTGCTGCTGTTTTGTTTTATGTTCATTTGTTTTTAATATAGTAAATCTACTTTTTAAAAATTCCATGTGATAAATGCACATGAAGTTTTTTAAAAGTTTAGAAGAATTGGTAACAGGCTTACAGAAAGGTTGGTTTCCTGCCTATACTCCTCCAACTGCTTTCTGTGTTCCATTTAGATTTTTCAGTTCTAAAAACTGTTTCTTAATCATAGGCTTATACTGCTTTCTCTTGATTCTTCAATATTAGTTGTCTCTTTACTTCAGATATTGTACAAATGGATTTTAGATCTCTTATTACTATCTTCCCACTATATTTATCTGAATGTTTTTGGCTAAATTGGTATTCAGTGTTTGAATGGTACTCCTCTCCAATGTGCCAAATAATATATTCACTATAATGTAATTACTTTTATTTTTCCTAAGGTAATTGCTTTATTTTTACTTCCTTAAATTTCAGTTTGTAGTTACTAGTGCCAAGTGTTACCATGCTGTCAAACATCCTCTCAATATAATTTTCTATAAAGTAAGTTCTATTAATATAGTAGTATATAATATATTGGGTTGGCCAAAAAGTTTGATTGGTTTTTTCTGTAAGATGGCTCCAGTAGCGATTAGTTGTTTTTAAGTTCATTTGAAACAATTCTGTTAAATTGTATTGTGACAGCTGTCATATCAGTGTGCATTAAAAAAATTTATCAAAATTGGTGAATTTTTGTGTAGCCATTTTAATATTGAAGATGGAAGAAGACAAGCAACATTGTTGTTGTATTATACTTTATTATTTCAATAAAAGTAAAAACACAACTGAAACAGAAAAAAAAAAAGATTTGTCCATTGTATGGAGAAGGTGCTATGATTGATCAAACATGTCAAAAGTGGTTTGCAAAATTGCTTTGGTACTGTTGACATTGTTGCTAAATAATTCTTTGTTGTGAGACTGTCTTATGCATTGGGAAATGTTTAATAATTCCCCTGGCCTCTACCCACTAGAAGCTAATAGTAGGAGATATCTGACATATTCAAACTATCCCAATCAGTAAAGTTATTGGTGAAAATGAAAAATGTCTTTATTTTACAGACAATTTGGCCAACCTAATAGTATACTATATAGAGTAGTTTTCCATGTTTCAGCCCCAGTCCAGACTGGTTATTCTCTGAGTGTGCTGCATCCCCTGTTCCCCTGAGGTCTGTCCTTGTCCTCATTATCATAGAACTTCATTGCCTCTACTGTGTGTTGCAGTGCCTATCTCTTGGCTCCCATGTTTTCTTTCTTTTTGCTTTACTTCCTTGTTTGGGTGGAATATGTACTCAAAATAGCTTTCTGTGAAAGGTGTGAGGTAAATTTCTTGAGATGTTTGCTATCTTAAAATGTTTTTATTCAACCCTCAAACTGACTAATTATAAAAGTCTAGGCTGAAAAAATTCAATTCTAAATTGTTACAGTTTCATGTGATTTCTTGTGTAATTATGCTGTTCGGTGCCGTCAACCCCCAGAAGCTTTTAGGATATTTTCCTTATCCTCGATTATCTGAAAGTTTAAGGGTGTTTTGGGGTGGTTTGTGTGTTTGTTATGAGTTTCTTTCCCTTCATTGAGCTAGCTCTGCAGGGAACCCTTCTATATGGACATTTATACCCTTAGGTCTTGGAAATGTTTTGTATTTTTTCTTAATTTCCTTGCCATTTGTGATTTTCTGTTTTTGGAACTTTATTATATGTTGAGATAAATGATCATTGCAGGGATTGGTTATGATGTGATGTCATTAATTGAGGAATCTGATTAGCTTAACCCTCTGTGGTTTTAGGAATGAGAAAGTCGGATGCTGCGAGGGATCAAAATAAGTAGAGAGGGCCTTTCAAATTAGGAGGCAATTTGAACAAAGGCAAATAGGTGGGAATTCCAGAATAAAGAGTGGTGGGAAAATGAGAGTTACTGATGGATGGTTTTTAGCTAGTGAGTATTTAAGGATAGCTAAGGTAGTAATGGTGAGCAAAAGGACTTGGTGAGATAAAAAAGTAGAAGTTGGGAGAGTTGCTAGAAGGCAGTTTTAATAAATCAGGTCCAAGGTTGGTGAGTAGAATGAAATATAGATAGGATATTCTAATCCTTGGGAAATTTAGCTGCTCATGTTGCATTGCTCATACTCCATTGACATGAGACCCATTTTCTTTGGCATGAGTAAAAGCAAGTAGCTAATGATGAGGGCTTTCTCTACCCTCATTCATCATACAGCATTAATGACAGGACTAAGTATGGGGATGGTTGTTTTTCTATTACCCTATATATGCATGTCATAATTTTTGCTTCCATTCCATCTGTATTTCTCTCTGTTAGAGAATGCAAATGCAAAGTAGCATTTGTATGACTTGCTATATATCTCTTGACAGTTACTTGGACAATCTTTTCAGCTCTTCATCACTCTGCTACAGGCAAGGAAATGGAAAAGGTTATACATATATTATTTATTCTAATTTGTTACCTCATTTTTTAGAACACAAATTAGCAGAAAATACTAATCGCTTTTAATTACTGAATTAAATTTCCTCATTTTAATTACATTTCCTCAGAAGGTCTCTATGCTTTTCAGAGATATTGATTGTTCTCCTCTTACAAAGCTCTTTTTTTCTTTTTTATAGTAACAACCCACTGAGAATTTATCATCTTTGATCTCTTTTGTTGTTCTGCCTCTTTTTTCATTTTTTAAATACATTTTATTGATTATGTTAATACAGTTGTCCCATTTTCTCTCCTTTATTCCCTTATACCCTGCACACCCTCTTCCACCTGCACTCCCTGCACCTTAGTTCATGTCCATGGGTTGTACATATAAGTCCTTTGGCTTCTCCATTTCCTATACTATTCTTAACCTCCCCCTGTCTATTTTGTACCTACCATTTATGCTTCTTATTCTCTGTACTTTTTCTCCCCTTCTCCCTCCCCCCCTCCAAACTGAAAACTCTCCATGTGATTTCCATTTCTGTGATTCTATTCCAGTTCTAGTTGTTTGCTTAGTTTTTGTTTTTGTTTTTTAGGTTCAGTTGTTGATAGTTGTGAGTTTGTTGTCATTTTAATGCTCATATTTTTTATCTTCTTTTTCTTAGATAAGTCCCTTTAACATTTCATATAATAAGGACTTGGTGATGATGAACTCCTTTAACTTGACCTTATCTGGGAAACACTTTATCTGCCCTTCCATTATAAATGATAGCTTTGCTGGATAGAGTAGTCTTGGATGTATGTAGGTCCTTGTTTTTCATGATTGGAATACTTCTTTCCAGCCCCTTCTTGCATGCAAGGGTTCTTTGGAGAAATCAGCTGGTAGTCTCTCAGGCACTCCTTTGTAGGTAACTGTCTCCTTTTCTCTTGCTGCTTTTAAGATTCTCTCCTTGTCTTTAATCTTGGGTAATGTAATTATGATGTGCCTTGGTGTGTGCTTCCTTGGGTCCAACTTCTTTGGGGCTCTCTGAGCTTCCTGGACTTCCTGGAAGTCTATTTCCTTTGTCACAGTGGGGAAGTTCTCCATTACTTTTTCAAGTAAGTTTCCAATTTCTTGCTCTACCTCTTCTCCTGGTACCCGTATGATTTGGATGTTGAAACATTTAAAGTTATCCCAGAGGTTCCTAAGCCTCTCCTAATTTTTTGGAAATTTTAAAAAATATTTTATTTATTTATTTTTAGAGAGAGGGGAAGCGGGGGAGAAAAAGGGGGAGAGGAACATTAATGTGTGGTTGCCTCTTGTGCAACCCTACCAGGGACCTGGCCTGCAACCCAGACATGTGCCTTGACTGGGAATCAAACCCGTGACCCTTTGGTTTGCAAGCTGGCACTGAATCCACTGAGCCCTACCAGCCATGGCATTTTTGAAATTCTTGTTTCTTCATTCTGTTCTGGTTGAATGTTTACTTCTTCCTAGGTCCAAATTGTTGATTTGAGTCTTGGTTTCTTTCCCTTCACTGTTGGTTCCCTGTACATTTCTCTTCATTTCACTTTTCATAGCCTTTAATTTTTCTTCCCTTTTGCAACCATACTCAACCATTTCTGTGAGCATTCTGATTATCAGTGTTTTGAACTATGCATCTGATAGGTTGGCTCTCTTCATTACTTAGTTCTGTTTTTAGAGCTTTGATCTGTTCTTTCATTTGGCCCATATTTTTTTTTCCTCAGTGCAGCTTTTAGGTTGTAAGGGGCAGAGCCTTAGGTATTCACCAGGGTGGGCAACCCTCTCCGTTGTGTTGTGGCACTGTACTGGGGGAAGGAGTCAGAGATGGAACAATGCCACTTGCTCAGCTTCTGACAGCTTTCAGTCACTTCCCCCACTACCCACAAACAAAATTGAGCCCTTCTCGTACTGATTCCTGGGTGGGTGGGTTTGTGTACATTCTGGGACCCTGTGGGTCTCTCCAATGAACTCTCCCGTGAAGCTGGGAGTTCTCCCATCACCCCAAGATCCACAGGTTTTTACCACCAGAGGTTTTGAGGCTTTATTTCTCCATGCTGGAAACCTGGGTTGTGCAGTCCGTCACACTCCCTAGTTGTTCCTCCCTGTTTATCCACATACAAATGTGTGACTGCAGAGTCCGACAGCTGCTGACTCTCCCACCCAAGTCCTCCAGCCACTGCCTTGCTGAGTGTCCTCTCCATTTCAGCTGCCTGTCCCTGCCCCTCCTACCACTCTGAATGAATGTTTCTTCTTTAACTCCTTGGTTGTTGGACTTCCATACAGTTTGATTTTCTGGAAATTCAGGTTAGTTTTTGTTTTTAAAGTTGTTGTCCTTCTTTTGGTTGTGCAAGGAGGCAAAGTATATCTATCTATTCCTCCATCTTGGCCTGAATTCTCGTTCTGCTTCGTAAACATTATTTTCCCAGGCGATATGTTGAGAGGAATGCCGGTTCCTTTCTTTTTATATAGGTTTCTGTTTGTTTTGTTTTGTTTATCCTTGCCTGAGGATATGCCAATTGATTTTAGAAAGAGAGGAAGGGAGGGAGAGAGAGAGGGAGACAAACATCAAGTTGCCTCTAGTACATGCCCGGACCAGGGACCAAACCTACAAGCTAGGTATGTGCCCTGACTGGTATTCAAACCTGTGACTTTTCAGTTTAGGGGACAATGTTCCAATCAAGTGAACCACACTGCCCAATGCTGGGTTCCTGTTTTTATATTGAAAAGATTTTTTTCTTTCTCTGAAAATGAGGAAGTGGAAATTGTACATTTTTTTTAAAAGTTATAAGCTATGAGGGTTTTTGTAGCACTGCCATTTCTATATACATTTGCCTGTAGCTTACATCTATCTGTATGGTATTTCTGTGATTGAATCTGACTTCTTACAGTGACATGAAAATAATTCAGGAAGTGCTACCCCAGGCCAAAGTCTGACCCATTGATAGTTAAAAGCAGTGTTCATGTACTACTTGATATCTACAGCTTCCGGAGGAGTTGAAAGATGCCACTCCCAAACAAGAATAATCCATTAGGAGATTTTGTTTGTTAGGTGGAGCGGCCTCCATCTCCATTCTCCATGGCCCCACAAGCTTCCCTTCCCCCAGTGCCACCACGACTTGACCTTCTGCAACAACGAGTGTCTATCCCTTCAAGTGCGTCTGGTGTTGGAACTGCTTGTAAGGTAAAGCATTATCTATTTGTACAGTTTACTGGTTCTTTGTTGTGGGTTAGTGGGCTTTGATTGATTTGCTTCCATCCTGCTTCCACAGGCTGCTTCTGGCTCCCTTCATAAGGACAAGCCATTACCAGTACCTCCCATACTTAGAGATCTTCCACCACCACCCCCTCCAGACCGGCCTTATTCTGTTGGAAATGAAATCCGGCCTCAGAGACGCCCCTTGCCTTGTACACCAGGCGACTGTCCATCCAGGGACAAATTACCCCCTGTCCCGTCTAGCCGCTTTGGGGAATCATGGCTTCCTAGGCCAATTCCCAGAGTACCAGTAGTTACCCCAAACCTTAGTGACCCCTGGACAGGGAGAGAATTAACCAACCGGCACTCACTTCCATTTTCATTGCCCTCACAAATTGAACCCAGAGCAGATGTGCCTAGGCTTGGAAGCACGTTCAGCCTGGATACCTCCATGGTGAGTCCTGACTTTCTTTTTTAAAGATTTTATTTATTTATTTATAGAGAGAGAGGAAGGGAGGGAGAAGAAGAAGGAGAGAAACATCAATGTAGGAGAGATAACATAGATCGGTTGCCTCTCACATGTTCCCTGCTAGGGACCTGGCCCGCAACGTAGGGCATATGCCCTGACTGAAATCAAACCAACTAACTTGTGGTTCACAGATTGGCACTCATTCCACTGAGCCACACCAGCCAGGGCTGATTTTTAAATTATTTAGCCTATAACAACAAATATTTGTGGATAATATTTAATGGGTCAACATTATGTGATAGGTTTTATATAGTATTCAAGGATAATATAATTTCTATCCTGAAGAAATGTGTATTTTTATAGAGCAGTTAAGGCATGTTTGTAAATACAGTAAGTGTGTGTACACATGTGTGCTTGTATGTATCATGAGTGGTATAAATAAAAAACACATTTTAGAGAAAGAATTTATTGTCAGATAAAGCAAACATTGAGGGCTTTATGTAAAGAGGGACATCTAAATTTGAAGTATTATTTCCAAAGTGTATATAGTTTTAAGATAGATCAGAGCTACAATGACAGAAATAGCTTAAGTTGTATTGTAAAATGAGAAATAGTTTGAGTAGAGCAGAAATTTTGTGTATCAAAATAGGAAAAGGTGCTAGATTAAAGGGCTTTGAATATCCTGTTCCAAAAGAATTTGAATTTATTTTGTAGGAAATGAGAGCATTTGCAAGTTTTAAATTAGTGGAATGACATGACCGAAGAGATGACTCCAATCGTAGTATGTAGCATGGATTGATAAGAGAATAGGTTGAAAAATGACAAGTTAGTGATCCATTGTATAAGCATGAGATTAGGGGTTCAGAACTGGGAATGGAAGGGCTATATTCCTATTTTTGTTGGTTCATTTACACACTAAACACAAATTCTTTCTCTCATAAAGTTTACATTCTAGAGGAGGAAAGACAGAAAATAAACAAAATAAGTTAATAAACATACAAGATGTTGGATGTGGATGAGTGTTGTGGGAAAAAATAGCACAAAAATAGCCAGTATTGGTAAGGCTGAGCAAAGATCTGTAGCAATGGGGAGAGTGAGCCATGCTGAGTCTGGGGGAAGACCATTCCATAATGAAGAGAATAGCAAGTGAGTTTGGGAGGGCCTGTTTGAGGAATAACAATGTGTCTTAATATAGTTGGTGCTAAGTAAGCAGGAAGGAGACCAGTTGTCTATGGCAGGTGGGCAGAGCCAGATTAGGTAGAGCCTTGAGAGGTGAGAAACAAAGATTCAGTAAGGCTAGAAAGCAGTCAGTAGGTGCAAAACAGGACAAGAAATCAATCTCTCTCTCTCTCTCTCTCTCTCTCTCTCTCTCTCTCTCTCTCACACACACACACACACACACACTCACACACACACTCACACTCTCGAGGTTTTGAACCTGGCTAACGAGAGACATGTTGAATTTGAGATGAGTTATTGAAACAAGAAATAGCCAGTAGGTAGTTGGAAATCTAAGGAAACACTGGAGTTGAAAGGGCAAAGTAGGGGAATGCTGTGGCCAGTGACTGAACTGAATATTCCTTTGTTGCAAGGGAAGGGGGAAAGTTGTAATTTAGATTTAAGTGGGAGTCTAATTAGTGAGAGTGGGTTAGGTTTGGGTTCCTGGTGGCATCAATGTTGAAGGATATATAGAAATTATCGCTTGAAATAGTATTTGTGTAGACAGCTGATTTTCTCAGCTCTTTCTAGAATTAAACAAAGAACAACACATGTCCTTGGTTCCTTTTAGATGTCTGTCTCCCTAACCCCCTTACATTTGAGCTTTTTTCAGAACCTGAAAACAGCTATGCTTTTTCAGATGTAATAATCCCTGAGCATGGCATTGAAAGTGAGGTCTGTGTCTTTATAATTGTTCTTGTTATTTTCAATAGGTTAAATAAGAGGAGATATATAGCTGTATTAAGAAAATCCTTTTTCATCACTTTTCTTTCCAGAATATGAATAGTAGCCCATTAGCAGGTCCAGAGTGTGAGCACCCCAAAATCAAACCTTCTGCATCTGCCAATGCCATTTATTCTCTGGCTGCCAGGTAAGTTTTCTAAAGCTGTATTTCATACAGTGGAGTTGGAACTTTTATTAAACAGTTTACCTATAGAAAATTAAAACCCAGAGGAATATAATGAGGAAAATAAAAATTGATCTGTATTTGTACCATGTAAAAAGTATCCTATTTTATGCTTTGGAGTGTTTCTTTTACATTTATATCTTACTCATTTATAAGTATACAGTTTAGTGGTATTAAATACCTCACACAGTGCAACCATCACCATTATCCATCTCCATAACTCTTTTCATTTTGTAAAACTCTATATACCTATTAAACAATAACTCCTCATTTCCCCTCCCCCCAGCCCTTGACAATCATCATTATACTTTCTGTCTTTGTGATTTTTGACTTCTCTAAATACCTCATATAAGTAGAGTAATACAGTATTTATCTTTTTATGACTGGCTTATTTTGCTTGGCACAGTGTCCTCACAATTCACCATGTAGCATATTGAAGAACTTCCTCTCTTTTAAAGGCTGACTAAATGTCCATTGTTTATATATGTCATGTTATGCTTAATAAGTGTCCATCGACTTGTTATCATCAGTCGATGGAGACTTGGGTTGCTACCATGTTTTAGCTATTGTAAATGATGCTGCTATGAATACTGGCGAGCAAATATCTCTATAAGACTCCACTTTCAGTTCTTTTAGGTGTATACCCAGAAGTTGAATTGCTGATTCATATAGTAATTCTATTTTTAGTTTTTTGAGGCATACTGTGTTTCACAGCATCTGTACTATTTTACATCCCCACCAATGGTGTAAAGAGTTTCCCATTTCTCCAAATTTTCACCAACACTTGTTATTTTCTGTATTTTTTGTCTTTGTTTTTTGTCTGTTTTTTTTATAGTGGCCATCCTAGTGAGGGTGAGGTTGCCTAGTATCTCATTGTAGTTTTGTTTTGCATTTCCCTGATGATCAGTAATGTTCAGCATCTTTTCATGTGTTTATTGGTTATTCATATATCTCCTTTAAAGAAATGTGTATTTAAGACCTTTGCCCATTTTTAATCAGGTTTTTTGTGTTGAATTTTAGAAGTTCTCTTCATATTCTGGATATTAATCTCTTTTTAAAATATATTTTATTAATTATGCTATTATAGTTTTCCCATTTTTTTCTCCTCTTCATTCCCCTTCACCCTCCCTCCCACTAGCATCCCCCCTTTCCCCTTAGTCCATGTCCATGGGTCTTACATATATGTTCTTTGGCTTCTCCATTTCCCATACTGTTTTTAACTGCCCCGTCTATTTTTGTACCTACCATTTATGCTTCTTATTCCATGTACCTTTCCCCCCATTCTTCCCCCTCCACCTCCCCACTAATAATTTCCATGTGATCTGTATTTCTGTGAATCTGTTCCTGTTCTAGTTGTTTGCCTACTTCATTTTTGTTTTTATTTTGTTTTTCTAGATTCAGTTATTGGTAGTTAAGATTTTGTTGTCATTTTACTGTTCATATTTTTTTTTTATCTTTTTCTTAGATAAGTCCCTTTAACATTTCATGTAATAAGGGCTGGGTGATGATGAACTTCTTTAACTTGACCTTATCTGGGAAGCACTTTATCTGCCCTTCCATTCTAAATGATAGCTTTGCTACATAGAGTCATCTTGGATGTAGGTCCTTGCCTTTCATGACTTGGAATACTTCTTTCCAGCCCCTTCTTGCATGCAAGGTTTCTTTGGAGAAATCAGCTGGTAGTCTCACAGGCACTCCTTTGTAGGTAACTGTGTCCTTTTCTTTTGCTGCTTTTAAGATTCTCTCCTTGTCTTTAATCTTGGGTAATGTAATTATGATGTGCCTTGGTGTGTTCCTCCTTGGGTCCAACTTCTTTGGGACTCTCTGAGCTTCCTGGACTTCCTGGAAGTCTATTTCCTTTGCCAGATTGGGGAAGTTCTCCTTCATTATTTGTTCAAATAAGTTTTTATTTTCTTGGTCTTCCTCTTCTCCTTCTGGCACCCCTATGATTTGGATATTGGAACGTTTAAAGATGTCCTGGAGGTTCCTAAGCTTCTCCTCGTTTTTTTGAATTATTGTTTCTTCATTCTGTTCTGGTTGAATGTTACTACTTCCTTCTGCTCCAAACTGTTGATTTGAGTCCTGGTATCCTTCCCGTCACTGTTGGTTTCCTGTAGATTTTTCTTTATTTCACATAATGCAACCTTCATTGTCGCCTGGGTCTTTCTTACGCTGTTGCAGTACCCAGTGAGTTCCTGGAGCATCCTGATAACCAGAATTTTGAACTGTGCATCTGATAGTTTGGCTATCTTTTCATTGCTTTGTTGTATTTTTCCTGGAGCTTTGATCTGTTCTTTCATTTGGGACATTTTGTGTGTGTGTCTTGGGGTGCCTGTTATCTAGTAAGGGGCAGAGCCTTAGGTGTTCACCAGAGTGGGGCAACATACGTCAATTTGTTGTGACACTGTATGTTGGGGAAGGGTCCAAGAAGGAGCAGTGCTGCTTGCTCCATTCTCTGCCGATTTTCAGTCACTTCCCCAACTACCCACAAGCAAATTGGGCCTTTCTGGTGCTGGTTCCCAGGTGGGTGGGTTTGTATACATTCTGGGACCCTGTGGGTCTCTCCAATGAACTTGCCTGTGAGGCTGGGAGTTTCTCCTACTGGCACCTCAACCCCTACAGGTATTTTCAGTCAGAGATTTTGGGGCTTTATTTCCCCACACTGGATTACTGGGTTGCACAGTCTGTCTTGCTCCCCAGTTGGTCCTCCCGGTTTATCTGCACGTGAATGTGGGACCGCCCTGTCGGTCAGCCACCACCTTGCCTCAATTCCTCTCTATCTAGCTGCCTGTTTCCGCTTCTCCTACCAGTCTGGATGAATGTTTCTTCTTTAACTCCTTGGTTGTTGGACTTCTGTACAGTTCAATTTTCTGGCAGTTCTGGTTGGTGGTTGTTTGAAATTTGTTGTCCTCCTTTTGGTTGTGTGAGGAGGCACAGTGTGTCTACCCACGCCTCCATCTGGGCCAGAAGTCCTGAATCAGTGTCTCTTAACACTTTCTGGACATTGAAATTTCCCACATATTTATTCTCTAGTACTCCTCAATTCCTATTGCTTTGCCATGCTTTCTTCTGGAATCTTTCCCTTCTGCCCAAAGAGCTTACTTTACAGAGATAAAAATGGAGTATTTGGGTGTGGGTATGGATGAGTGTAGATGTCTTTCATCAACCATTTCCTCCAGATTTTGTTTGATGGAAAATATCTTTTATTTCACTTTAATTTTCTTGAAAGATATTTTCACTGAGTATAGTACTGAAGTGCAGTTATTTTCTTTTAGCACTTAAAAAATAACATTACATCGCCCTTTGGCTTCCATTGTTTCTGTTGAAAAATTAGCTCCTATGCTTAAATTTTTTCTTTTAAAGGTTATGTTTCTTTTCTGGACCTCTTTTTCTTCGGGTCTCAGCAGTTTTACTCTAATTTGCTCCCATGTAGTTGTCTTTACATTTATCCTTCTTAAGGTTTGTAGACTTTATTTATTTTGTGGTTTGATGTTTTAGATAATTCTAGGCCTGTTTTTAAAAGATTTAATTTATTTGTTAGAGAGAGGGGAAGGGAGGGAGCAAAACATCAGTGTGTGGTTACCTTTTGTGTGTCCCCTACTGGGGACCTGGCCCACAACCCAAGCATGTACCGTGACTGGGAATCGAACCGGCAACCCTTTGGTTCACAGGCCCATGCTCAATCCACTGAGCTACACAAGCCAGGGCTAGGCCACTGTTTCTTAAAATAGATTGAATAGTGTAATCTTTCTCCTCTCCTACTGTGACTCCAATGACTTTAATGTATGACCTCTCACCATTCCTAACATAACTGTTATGCTCATCTGTGTTTCCCATTTTTCCCTCTTTAGTCTGAATAGTTCCTGCTATATTCAAATTCCCTGATCTTCTCGTTTGCAGTTTCCAATCTTCCTTAAACCCATCTATTGAATTTGTATTTTCAGATACTATGTTTTTAGGTTCTAGATTTTTCATGTGATTATCAAAAATATATATTTTTTAGTTTTCTAATAAAAATTCTCTATCCTCCTTTTTTATTGAATGTATAATTATTTTGAAGCCCATATCTGTTAACTACAACTTTGTCTCTCCAGCTTGGCAAGAGAGCTCAAGTATCTTTTCCTGAATGATTTATCTGACTCTAACTCCATGTATACACAGTTTAGGGATTAGCAATAACTCTAAGGGAAATTGTAGGTGGAATTTAAACCTAATTCCCTGCTATTAGTTTCTCCAGGATTTTTGGCCCTTCATGATGAATTGGCCATTATGATACCCCCAAATTCCCAGCCTGTTGAAACCACCTTGAAACCCCAAGTTTAGAGCTTCTAATATGAGACTTACATCAGAGCAATTTCCTCCTCTCTGGGGTCTTGGCTGGCCTCTTAAGTCTGGCTGCCTGCTTGCTCTCCAGTGCATCTTTCTTCTGCAGTCCTCCTGCTTTTCCAGTGGCTGCTCTAAGCAGATGGTTGGACAGTGCTTGCTACTTGGCCATGGCTGTGAACATGTGACATGTATATATGTTTTAGATCAAGATACAGTCTCATTGTCTCTCCTTATTTAAACTTAGTGTTATGTCTTGGGCATGTCTTCCTATCATTTAAAAAATTCTTCAATTCTTCAAGCCCTGGCTGGTATGGCTCAGGGGATTGAGTGCTGGCCTACAAACCAAAATGTCGCCGATTCAATTCCCAATCAGGGTACATGCCTGGGTTGTGGGCCAGGTCCCTGGTACGGGGTGCATGTGAGAGGCAACCACACATTGATGTTTCTCTCCCTCTCTCTCTCCCTTCCCCACGCTCTAAAAAAACAAATAAAATATTTAAAAAATTAAAAAATATAAAGTTCTTCAAAATCCATACTTTTAGTGATTATGTACAGAATGTGACTGTAGCATCACATATTTTAATTATTCCTCTTGTTGAATATTTATTTTGTTTAAAATAATAAACTTTTTATTGGATAGCTTTGTATATACCGTATTTTTGAGATTATAAGACGCAACCCTCTGCGTCACCCCCCCCCCCCCGAATTTGGGAGGAATAATGGTTGTTAATGCTGCCGTTGAGTTCTGTTTACATTTACATTGGTGAAATAATTATTTTATTTATGTTATTAAATATTTTACCACATTTTTTGCTTCAACATTTTTTTCCTATTTTCCTCTAAAACCTAGGTGCATCTTTTGGTCCGAAAAATATGGTAACCAGGGATATAGCCAAGATAGAACTTGTGTGACAAAAGATGGTCAATGTTTTAAAATATGCATTGCTAAAATGCTTAATGAGGAGATGCAATTTTATATTTTTATTAACATTATCAATGAAAAGAATTACAATTAAATTTTTTAAAGATTTTATTTCAGTTTTTAGAGAGAGGGAGGGAGAGAGAAAGAGGGAGAGAAACATCAATGTGTGGTTGCCTCTCACAGGCCCCCTACTGGGGACCTGGCCCACAACCCAGGCATGTGCTCCAGGCTGGGAATTGAACTGGTGACCCTTTGATTTGCAGGCCAGCACTCAATCCACTGAGTCACACCAGCTGTGGCTATAATGAAACATCTTTGATCACCCTTTTAATGATCTTTTTTAAATAAAAGTAATGCGTTAATTAAGAATTATAGGAAATGCATATAAGCAATGCTGAAGAAATAGAAGTCACCTATAACCTTACCATTAGTTAGCATTTGATGTATGTTCATTGCCATTCCTATGTGAATGAAATCATAGTGTACATGCTATTTTTCATTAGGAATAGCTTTAATGACTTAGAATGTTATTACATATTCTTTTACTACCATGATTTTTAAATTATTTCAGTTGATTGCAAAGCAGACGAACTGACCTAAGTGTAACCTCACTTTGTAAAATACACAAGACCTACTGTGGTAGAAGCAGAGGTAGGCCTCTGAAGCTCTTTTTGGAACCCCTGAGGCACTGAGAGATACAGGTGACTTCAGACATATGTGGTCTAAAATTTATTCAACACAGTATTATTTGACAAGGTTGTTGCCTTTTCTTTTTCTTTTTTTTTTTTAAGTATTATTTCCTTAGGAAAAGTTCCTAGAAATGGGATTTCTGAGTACAAGGGTTTTCACCTTTGGTTTAATAGTTTTGCTGAGTTAATACTCCAGAAAAGTTACTCCATATGTTTATTGGTAAAACTACATAGGAAAATACCCATTTCCCTACATCTTCACAAGTACTTGGTATTTTTTATTAATCTTTGTGGGTTGTTTCCCCCAACATTTTATTAAAAGTTTCAAATATAGAGTAAAGGTGAAAGATTTTTTACAGTGAACATGTTTACTCACTACCTGTATTCTACTGTTTGTATTTTATTACACTTGTTTTATCACACATTTACCTATTTATACTATTACTTATCCATCCTTCTTAGTTTTTTTATGCATTTCAAGGAACATTTTAGATACCAGTATACTTCTACCTCAGAATTTCAGCATGCAATACACAAATAATGAAAGTAATATGTAGACATAAGAAAAAAATCTGAAGTGAGATTATAAAGGGCTATCATCTGTTAGTTTTCAGTTAGCATTTAAGTGTTTTATAATAAACTGTTGCTTTTATAATTAACAAAAACAAACATCAAGTAAACACAGACAAATCCAATCGATGTTTGTATAGAGTATTTGGAATGTGCACAAAAATCAGGAAGAGGAAGGGAGGGGAAATACATTCCCAGAAGGAATTTTCTTTCTTACATAGTTGTGTGGTGAGGGGGGGGGTGTTCTTTTTTGTTTTGTCTTCCTCAAGCTTCACAGGGTGAGGTGGCAGGAGAAGTTTTCTTTCAAAATTTTCTGGGTGAAGCAGCCCAAGTGTCCATCAGCAGATGAGTGATTAAAACAACTATGGGACATTTACACAATGGAATATCATTCAGCCATTAAAAGAAAACCAAAAAACAATTTTGCCCTTTGCAGCAGCATGGATAAACCTGGAGAACATTATACTAAGTGAAATAAGCCAGTCAGAGAGAAATACCATATGACTTTACTCATACGTGGAATCTAATGTGCAAACTGAACTAACAAGCAAAATAGAGACAGACTCATAGAGAGCAGGTTGACAGCTATTGGGGGAGGTTAGGGGGTGGAGGGATGGAGCAAAAAGGACAAAGGACTCATGGACATGAACAACAGTGTGGTGATTGCAGGGGTGGGCATAAGAGGGTTAAATGGTAATGAGAAAAAAATACCATTAAAAAAAACCAAACCTCTCGGCAAGAATTATGTATGAGTATAATGGCAAGATCCCAGAAGGCCAGGGTCCAAAGATCCAGGATATAGTCCCAGAATTGATGCTAACTACCAAAGCACTTTATATCTTTTTATTTCCTTTTACTTTTTTTGTATAATATGAATAGGAAACCTGTTTATGCTATAAGATAATATATGTGATAGCTTTCAGCAAACTGTATATTCTTTGAAACAGTAGGAAGATTTTAGAATTGAGATTTGTATACATTCCTAGTATATTATCTGAAAGCCACCCGCTATTTTTTATTTCATGCCTAGTGAAAGAAAAACCAGCATACTAGCTCTTGGGCTGGTGTTCTAACTTGTTGGAGGACAGAGTCTAACTGGCATGAAGTACTATTCCAGTGTAATACATCTCAAACCTAATAGCCTCACCTTTGGTCAGTTAAAAGTGAAAATTTAAGTTATTGTGTTTCTAATAATTACCTATCTTAGCGAGAAGAACTAATAGTTCCCTTGGTGGCATCTGTCTTGCTCTGTAAAATTTCAGTTGTTGTGTGCTTTGAAGATACTTATTTCATACTTTTTTTTTTTCGTCTTGTTAATTATTTTTGTTTTCTTTTTCTATTTTTTATTTTTAATCTTCCAGGCCTCTTCCTGTGCCAAAACTGCCACCTGGAGAGCAGTGTGAAAGTGAGGAGGACACAGAGTATATGACTCCCACTTCCAGGCCTCTAGGGCTTCAAAAGCCAGAGGTGAAATGGCCTTCAGAGACATGCCAGAGTTTACAGTAGGTTCACAACAATCCTTCTTTGGAATTAAGCTGACAACACTCATCTGTTTGGCTTGCTACTTTCACATAGCGTTACCCAGCCACAATTAAAGCAGAAAGATGTATCTTTCCTAACGTTTAAGCCTATTAACATCTGTAAGCAATTCCTTTTAATGATTCCTCAATACAGTAATCTAAAAAACATACACGTCTATTACTCATCACAAGAGTGACTTTTACATTTCGTAGTGATACTGGCAAAAGAATGTTCTCTTGATAGAATCAGGGTCTAGAGTAATAGTGAATAGATGAATCTTAATAAGTTTGTGGATGACAGAGTTCTATTTCTGAAGATCATTGTGCTACTTTCCTTCCGGTTCAGAGCATGTGATTGTGACCAGCAGATTGATAGTTGTACATATGAAGCAATGTACCATATTCAGTCCCAAGTGGTGCCACCTGACACAGAGAGCAGCACTTTTGGTGAGTAGCTATTTTGCCGTAGGAATGAGCCTGTAATATTTGGCTAGTGAGATAGCTTGATTTAAGCACAAAATTCTTTTAAATAATTTTATTTGCAAAATATCTTTGATTCATGGACAGTAAAACCTCTTTCCTTTGTTTTATTCCCTGTTCATACCATGAGTTACTTTTCTGCTTTTTCATCCTTCCAGTGCCTAGAGACATTTGTGTTAAATGTCCTGGACCTGCAGTGCTGGCAGCTCCCTTTTATTCCCATGGCTTTCTCACATTGATGATATTCTTTTGTGTGTGGGTGGTAAATACTCAGTCCCCACATTAACTAGCTTACCAAGGTGAAAGTTCAAGAAGGCAGCATACACAGGGCCCTCCAAAGTGAAATGGCAGATAAAATGTTGAATGAATGCTATATAGTGGCACTTTAAGTGGCTTAATCCTGGCAAGAATAGCTTTTGACATGTTCAGAAAGGTGGAGCTGCAAAATTGGTGTAGATTTTATTTTCTCTGTCTTTTATCTCCACCCACAGGGCATCACACGGTGTTTGGCTTAGAGTAAATGTAGTAAATATTTAGTAATGGTCTGACTCTGTCTATACATACCTGAATGAAAGGATGTCCTTATATTGAAATCTGGTAGTAGATGAAGTATGCTAGAAGAAGATAACTAACTGTACAAACTTTGCTCTAGGTGAAGGTAATTTGACTGCAGGCCATGCTGTCATTGACCCGGAAGAATCAGAAAATGAAGATGATGGGTATGATGTCCCTAAGCCACCTGTGCCAGCAGTGGTGGCCCGCCGAACTCTCTCAGATATCTCTAATGCCAGCTCCTCCTTTGGCTGGTTGTCTCTGGAAGGTGATTCCACAAGTGAGTCTCCAGGATATCTTGGGTTTGTACTGAAATGCTGTATGGGTCCTAATTTATACTGAAATAGAGATGAGTGACTGACTAGTGAAGTAAATCAGTAGCTGGAAGTAGTAGACTAAATGTAATGTCTAAATGGGAGGAAAGTGGGTTCTGGGTCCCCAATTAGGAAGTTAAACTGTAGTCAGACTCTAAGATTTTGCTAGACTTTGAAATGAGGTTGTTCCTTAAACCATGGCTCCTCTTGTGCTGGGGATAAGAAGGATTTCTGTGCGTTATAACTGGTTATTATGCTCAGTGGTTCTTCAGACCACATGTTCCGACTTCTGGGTTCCATTCCATTGGAAAGGAGGTGTGTGGGCTCTGGGAAGCACACTGAATGGGCATGGAGCCAGCCTACATTTGGGTCTTGACTGTCAAGGACTGTTTTTCTTGCACCTGTGGCTGCCTGGGAGTGCCACAGCCAAAATTGCTGTCACTTTCGACAGCTGGTGAAAAAGATATACCACATCCATTTGCTGAAACAGGCGGTGATCCCCATCCACCCAACCTTGTTTAGTGCTTCACTGCAAGTTATACTTATTTCTGTATTGTTATTTGGAAAAAGAGAATTTCAATGTCTTTTTTGTCCCCCTCAGAAAATTTTAAAAAATAATCCAGGCAGTGATGTGTTTGAAAACTTGTTTCCAAGTGTAAAGCATGATAGAAATGCAGATATTCTGTGCTTATGACAGTAGTAGTTATTGTTAGCAGAACAGGTACATGGTATATTTGGAAGGTTGTTTCTGCTGTGAGAAGGAGGGGCCCATGTACTAAAATCCTTGAACCTGTAAAACCCAGTCTTCCTTAAAAATTTTTATTTATTGATTTGAGAGAGAGAGGAAGGGGGAAAAAGAGAAACATTGATTTGTTGTTTCACTTACTCATGCATTCATTGGTTGCTTCATTTTGTTTTTAATCTTTTTTAAATAATTTTTATATTGTTAGTCTATTACAGTTGTCCTAATTTTCCCCCCTTTCATTGGTTGCTTCTTGTGTGTGACATGACCAGGGATTGAACCTGTAACCTTGGTGTGTTGGGATGATGCTCTAAACAACTGAGCTACCTGGTCAGGGCACCAAACCTTTTGACTAAAGAATATATGTTCCCAATTGACAGTATGTCAGTAATGTTCTGATATTAGCATATTGTTGTTATTGCTGCCATCAAATCGGGATTCCCCTCCACATTTGCAAATATTTTCTTTCTTATTTCTTGTAGACTTCACTGAGAGTTCCCAAGTCCCTGAGAGGCCTCCCAAGCCATTTCCTCGGAGAATCAACTCTGAACGAAAAGCCAGCAGCTCTCAGCAAGGTGGCGCTGCTGCTTCTGCTGCCACCACCTCACCACAGCTCTCCAGTGAGATTGAGAACCTGATGAGTCAGGGATACTCCTACCAGGACATTCAGAAAGCTTTGGTCATTGCCCACAACAACATCGAAATGGCCAAAAATATCCTCCGGGAATTTGTTTCTATTTCTTCTCCTGCCCATGTAGCCACCTAGCACATCATCTCCCTGCTGCAGCTTTAGAGGACCAATGACCTGGGAGCTCTTACTCGAGTAGTACCTAAAGGGCAGAGAGGTTCCTTTGGAGACTTCACAATGAAGTTTAGCCCTTTCTGTGGGATATCACATCTGTGGTTCTAAGATTGCAAAGTAGTAGTAGTGGAGCAGCCAGTGTGTTTTATTTTATTTGTTTTGGGAGTACATTTGAAAGTGTCCTTCTGTCCCCAGTTAGAGAGAATGTGGGTTTTTTGTTTCTTTGTTTTGTTGTTTTTTTAATGGTAGCCTACCTGGGGAACAGTACAGAAAGCAGTAAGAGGAATATCATGCTATAAATCCTAATTGAGGAGTTGAGACTTTCCTGGGCTTAAGAATGTGGTTGTGTATATATGTTTGTCTGTGGCGGTGTGTGTCCTGTGATTATAAAATTAACCTGCTGTCTGTGTTAACCCCAGGCAGGGGAAATTAGCACAAGAAGTTTAGGAAGGAATTTTATTAAAACTTCCATGTACTGTGGTATTATACCCAACCCCAGTGTGTATTACAACTTCAGCACTCCCTTGTGGCTTGGATTATCATATGCATGAAGTCATGTAATTTTAGAATACCTCCCTCTATCCTTTCCCTGTTTCTTCTTTCCTCCTCCTCATTGGTGTCTCACATTGGCAGTTAGCTTGCTATGACCAGCCTTACTGAGCCAAGTGATGTATAGGATTTCTTTATTGTATGTGATGGCGTTGGTTTGCTTGAAAGGGAAGAAAAGGTCCTGTTGCTGTATGATTCTAGTCATGTTTGATACTAGCAGCTAGTACTAGCCACTCCAAAACACTGTTTCTGTAGAAACATTGAATCTGTTGAAATAAGATGTTTAATTATTCTAACTATAATGAGTGATTTGAGATAGAGGCCTTCAAATACATTCCATGCTCTCTCCAGGAAATAGTCTGTGGGAGTCAGTTGCCTTGGTACTAGGTATGCTTGTGTCTGACGTAGGTCATGAGTGTTTCTACTCAGTGGGAAGGGAAAATCTTTGGTTTCTAGCATCGCTTTCTGGCCTAAATGCCAGGAAGCTTGAAACACAGGCTCTCTGCTTTGTTATCCATAAAATGCACCAAACAGACAGTAAGGGTTCATCTGTTCACTTTTTGTTCCCAATGAATTAAATCCAGCTTATATGGGTGTCTTCCTGTGAACTGTGAACATGAGCCAGGTTATATTTTCTGTAGTGATTTTTGCCCTTGAGAAATGGGGATACCATCCATGGTAACTCAGCATTTTACTACCCAACAACTTGGTTTTCACTTGTGCCTATGGCTTTGGGAATGTAGCACCTCCTTCCTCTTTCCTCTTCACCTTTGGTCCTATATTCAATTTAATAACTGGGTTCCCCACAGTAATTAGACATCATTTAGTGTAATAAATGACTTTACTGTAGTCAGGGACAATATGTGAACAGCAAGGCAGTTTGTGTAATTGCAGGTTCCTAAAGCAGTTTCAGAATCCAGTGTAGGGCACCATTAGTTTTTGTAAATACTACCAAATGGCCCCTCAAGTTCAGGTCATTCTCTGCCCAGAGTCTTTCATTGGCCTCCCCGTACCTTCTTCCTTATCAGAAGCAGGCCCACTTTTTATTGATCTACTTTCCTCAGACTCTGAATCATGCTTTTGTCTTTAGATCCACAGAAATGACTCTCTTTATATCTCTTTCTCATCTTGTCATCTTTATAACTAAAACTTTTCTAACTCTTCTTTTGGCTTTTAGCTTTTGGTTTTATCCTCTTATCCCAGAGCCATTTGCATTCTCATGGTAGACAATATGGGTCTTGTTGATTTGCCATGGTTGCCCTGTATCTCCTGTGTGGTAGAGAATGACATAACCCACCATCGGGTATAGGAGGTCCTGAACTGGAGTGGAGGGTAGAAGAGAGTGGCAGTGTATAGGAAACAGTAACTTGGCTTCTTCTAAAAGCCAGACTTGTGTTTCATTTGTGGTAACATTTAGTTTTGTGTTTTGTTGAGATATTGAAGGCCTAGACAGAGAACTAAAAAAATGGCAGCAGGTTCCATGCCTTACCATACAGGGATTTCCTTGTCTGTAGATATTGCCCATAATCTGAAGGTATATCAAGAGACTAAAGCCCTGGTTCTGTGTATCTATTGCCCTTTCAAAGTGCATCCAAAATCATCTTTGGAGGTTATGTCCTTGCTTATATAGACTAAGGGCAACTTCATCCTTTCTTTTCCCAGTGGAGTACTTGTGTGGCTTTTTGGGCCCTTCCTGAACTGGGGTGCAAGATCCTTGTGTTAAACATGTACACCATTGCTTGGAGTATTATCTTGTCGGTTGTGTATCTGTAGGCATTCAGGGTTTTAGACTATTCTGTGAGGCTTTTTTTCTTTGGGCGCTTTGAGGGTACATCCAGGTCCATGCCTGAGATTGCCAGGTGAGCCTCAGGAAACTTTTCATATGGCTCTTGTTCTGAGGACAGTCCTAAAACTTTAATTTCTTAAATTTTCTTTTGATTACAGCCCTAGTAACTTGTTCCTCAAACTCCATTTTTATGACAATTTGTAATATTGGCTCTGCTCTGAATTAAATTAAAATTGCTCTTTCACAAGCAGGCTTCACTTTGAGTTTTGCCATTTTTGACAAACTCATCCTTTTTCCCTCCTATCACAGATGATTCTTCTTCTGTTACTATCAGGTATATAAGGTAAAACCACTTTGATATTTTCCTTTGTCTTAAATGTATTAGGCTATTCTGTTAAACCCAGTCTTCTGCTGTCCAGGGTTGCTTTACTAGCCTCCCACATTTACTGGGCAGCTGCTGTGCAGGACTTGCAGTGATCTGCCCATCCCATCTCCCACTAAAGCATAGAGCTCTCAAAGTGGAAATGTTGCGCGTGGGTCACCGGCCAGCAGTGACCACGGCACACTGTGGATGGCTCGACAATACGCGAGAAAAAACACACATGCACAGAGACAAACCAGTTTCTGTGGGGAAGTAGGGACAGAATGGCCACCCCCCCTAGTGGGGAGCGCTCTGATTTACCGTCCATACCTGCTTTTATTAGGCTCATTTTGCATAATAACTCAGGTAACGTACAATACTCATTAGGGGAAGTAAGGAACATATAAAACAAAGAACTCTGCCGGTCTATTGAGTTGGGGGGTCAAAGAGCTGTAAGGCTGAGGAACAAACTAGCTTCCTCCTAAGACCCTCCTCATTCAACTGAGAGCATTCTTGAACAAAGAAGGTTTCACAGTAATTTACATGTTCTTTCTTAGGCCCGATCACCCCGGGAAATCCGCACTTCCCAGTACCGAGCTGCACTTCCCCGTCATTGTTTCAGGCTTAGGTGGAGCGCGGGAACTAAAGCCACCGAGAGATAAGGAGATTTTCTTCCGGACGCTGAGAACTCAGACTTTGTCAAAGCCGAGGAGTGAGGGTCCATCACCCCCCTTTGCTGCAGCCCCCCCAAGTCCTTCTTTTTGGGGGGCCTCCCAAAGTGATCGTGCCTGGCTTGGGTTGTTCCCCCGTGGGGAATCTTACCCGTCTTTGGCTAACCGACCAAGCTTTTTTGGGGTTCAGCAGCAGAAACAGCATTACTGCCAGGGAGATAAGCTTTTTTCTCCTTGCCGGCTCACGGTTCCAAGGGCGTTCCCTTAGCTTTAGCCTAGGCGGGGGTCTCAGCTTCTAATACCAGTCAGGGCGGTTCCCAACATGGAAAAAGTCTGTAGGCTCTATGTTATACCTCCCTTTAGGTACATAATAGATTGAGCAACTTATCATCTTGAATTTATCTATTACTCTTTATGTAAATAGTGGATAGTCATTCTCTCCCACAGCCCTCTTTCCTCAGCCCCACTGTAAACATTCTACCATTCTTCTGATTGCTCTCTTCTTTTATAGACTTTCAGCACCAGGGCCTCGGATGTATCATTTTGCTGTTTTGTGGATAAAAAAAAAAATGTTGGGCAGGGGGGCTATTGCTCTTCTTCATACTTGAAGTATTTATTTCTTACATAGAAAAGTAAACTATGTTTTATGGTCCAACAAGTGAACATACAAATGAATTTTTGTAAATGGCTTGCAAAGTAGGAACCCAGCTGTAAGTTCCCTTTAAGGCACTATTAACAAGATCTAGACCCTTTTTTCTTTTTTATTCAAGTATAATTGATATATTAGTTTCAGGTATACAATATAATGATTCAATATTTATATACACTGCAAAATGATCACCACAGTAAGTTTCTAAATTTAGTAAGCATCCATCACCATACAAAGCTAAAAAAATCTTTTTTTCTTTGTGATGAGAAGTTTTAAGATTTATTTTCTTGGCAACATTCACATATGCACTAAGGATCTGCACCTTTCTGTGGGTGATAGCAATGGTGTTAATTCAGAATCTTCTCCTACCTCACATCATGAAAGTCAGAGGGTTATAGACCTTCTTCCCAACTATTTGGAAGTCCCCCTTCTTACTGTGTTCTTCTGACTCTGTCCATGGAGTAACAGCATTTTGACCATTGACCCGGCTGTTTACCAGTTTGTTTGTTCATTCAGCAAAAGTTTATGAGTGATTTACCATTTGCCAGAAGTGTCAGCTCTGTGTTCTCTCCTACCACCATGTGGTGATTTACTGATGTTGGGGGATTGTACTTGGCTGCCCAGCACTTGGATCTGGCCCTAAAGTAGCCCTTCCCAGTAAGATTGTATAGTTTTCATTCATGGCTCTTATATTTCCTTTCAGAGCTGTCCTGGTTAATGAATCTGTGTGGTGGTTTGAGGGGTATGTTGACTGAGAGTTGCACAATAAAGCAATTAAGTGTTTAAGGAAAGCATCTACCCACGGTTCCCTTTCTAATCTAATGCCTCCCTTCATCTTTTTCACTTGGGCTGCTTGTGTCCCTGATCTCCCTTGTTGGGAAGTTTCCTTATCAGCCTTCTGTGACCTGTCACCATCTCCCATTTTATTTGGAACTTGTTTTCCAGTCCTTCACCAAGTTTTGCAGCCTAATCCTATGTTTTAAGAGTGGATGAAGGTGTGGAAAATGGATGGGCACTTGTCATTGGTCCTGATCTTCAACCATTGTTTGGTCTCCCTAGAGTCAGGCAGTAAAATACACTGAACTCAATCAGTTCTCAAAAATGTCAGCCTTGCCTTGGCTGGGTGGCTTAGTTGGAGTGTTATCCTATACACCTAAAGGTTGCAGGTTCAACTCCCAGTCAGGGCGCACAGGTTGCGGATTTGATTCCCCTCTCAGGGCACCTTTGGGATACAACCAGTCAATGTTATTTACATCTCTCTCTCTATCTCTCTCCCTTTCTCTCTCTCCTCTCTCCCTTCTTCTCGCTCTAAAATCAAACATATCCTTGAGTAAGGATTTTTTTTTAAATGTCGGGAGCTTAGAGACCTCAGACATCCTAGAACTTAGTATTAAAATCCATACATCATCATTTTCTCCTAGACTTTCAGTCTTTAGAAATTCAGTCTATAGCATTTTAATTCAACATAAAAAGCATTACTCTCACTACTTTGATCTCAGTCTACATTAGTAGTCTTTCTTTAGAACTGCATCTAACCATTTAATACATGGAGGACGGTGCATAGTGGAAGGTCAAGGTTGTATCTTTGACTATCCTTTTGGGAATCCTTTGGATGCAAGAAGCAAGTACTGAAACTAAAGAAAGGAGAGAGTCATAAGGATGCAGGGTATTTCACAGAACCCAGGACAAGAAATACACTTGACTCTTACATGGAACTGGACCACTTTGCACCTAGTCCTTTTGCTTGTCATTGTGTTTACTGGCATGCATAGGCCCAAAATAGACACCCTGATTCTTAAGTCCACAACTTGAGAGATCACCATGAACCAGATTCCAGTACCTCTTGGTTTATATTCTCAAGAAAGAATGTGACCACCCTAGCACATTGATTGGGTATCTACCCCCAACCCGTCAGCCTTCCCACACGGGGCAACAGCAGCATGTTCCTTCAGGGGGCAGGTGAGCGTTCTCAGAGAAGGGGACATATGTAGATGGGAGAGATACCCTAAAAATACTTTAGCAGTAAACTGCTATCATACTACTTTTTTGAGAGCAAGAAGACAACTGTGGCACTGTGTCTGGAACATCAAGGACATTCTTACATTTAATTCAGGTTGTTTTGCTTCATTTCCTATTTTTCTTCTTTTTATGAGTCTTTGTGTCCAAGATTTCTTCTCTCTTAAAGACCAGTTTCTCCTGTTTTGGAGCTAGTCTGTTCTTAGGGTGATATTTCTTAGCCCCCTTCTATCTCAGGTTTTTTAGCCTTCTTTTGTATCATTTAGAGAGATCATCCCAAATCCCACTGTAGTCACCCATGGACTTCTGGGCTGTCTTAAGGTTTCAGCACTGAAAAGGGATTCATTCTATGACCTGTGTCCCTCTATACCCTTCTCCTCACCCTTCCATTTACTATATGAGGAGAGCTCCTCAGTAATGTTCTTAGGCAGCCCCCCTAGGTACCTCAGAAACTGCTTTGTTGTAGCCAATAAGAATATGTAATAGTTGGGAGAGTTGTCAGGATATAAATTACATATAGATTCGTTTAGAATGGAGTTTTCTTGTTTTACTGAGCTCTTTAGACAGGATATCTTCACCTTCCCTGTCCAATTGCTTTCTTTGTAGTCCTGTATTAAAACCTTTATTTTTATTTTTGAAACTGTGCTTCTGCTTGCCTGAATCTTTTGATCTTTATGTCATCCTGTAGTCTGTCCTGTGTTATTAAGGCATTTCATAATGAGAACTTTTAAAAACTATTGGATTGTTATATATACATAGAAACAACCTAATAATCCAAAGATGTATATTGAGGCACATGGCATAGGGTGGGTTATCAGACTTTGCCTTTGATATTCTAGTGTAGGGTCTACCTTCAGTGTTCTAGGAAACCTGGGTTGATTTCAGAGAGGAGTACCATATTTCTTGGTTCTGGAAAACATAAAGAGTAAGAGGTGGGAAAGTAGGGGTACACAGGTGCTGCATGGAGGCTCATTCATAGTCAGATGGCAGGTGCTGCCCCTCTTCTTACATAGTGCCTGAGAAAATGGTGGCTTACCACTCCTGTTTGTGCAGAGCAAAGGCCGAAGACCAAACTCAAATCTGCTGATTTGGCATCTCAATAAGTCAGAGTTCTAATTGCCTGGCCCCATATTCTTAACTCAATCCCCCAAATTAATGTGGGCGGCACCCTCCACATCACCTCTCACAAATTCTACCCATGAACTAGACTTGGAGACCAGACAAGGCTTGCTCAACACATGCTCTGTGCAACTGCCCAGGCCCACAGTGGGCTGTACTGTGGTCAGTTCTGTCCTTCCTCCTTACCTCTGACCCTGTTATGATGGGTGTGGGTTGCCATCCTTGTGGCTATCTGGAAACTGAAGAAGCAGAGAGCTACTTATGAGTCTATAGACCATGTGTTTTCTCTTCTTGGCCTCTTTTGCTGTCTCGGTGAGTAAGCTTGCAGGAGCAGTGTCCATGAAGTAGATGCCTCCTGATCTACCCTTGTCAGCATTGTTGTAGTGTGTTGGCCTTGACCTGCTGAAACATGTGGTTGGGCCATGGCAGCTATCAAGTACCTCTTACATCTGCTTTCTGTGGCGACTTGGGATTTTTAACCTTATATATCTTTTTCTTTTATTCAAAACAAAAACAATTTTTAGCACACTGGAAAAAAAAAAGCCAAACATATTGTGCCTTTGTAAGGAAAGGCTGCATTTTAGACCTTAATATGGAAATAGCAGTCTTAGCTCTCTTTTATGTTGAGTGTCACTGATCCCTACAGTCTAGGGAAAAGGAAAAAGTACTCTGTGTGGCTGGATATGACACACAGGGGCACAGTGTCAGTGGTCCCTTTCCCTTGCCATGATGCTTAGTTGGAATAAACAAGCATTGTATTCTGGATCATTTGGTTGCTTCCCATTAGAGTCTTAGTTATTAGGTCAATATGTTATTATGCTGTCTCCAGCAAGAAAAGACACAATATTCCACGATTTCCAGGTTTACTCTGGAGCATTTCAAGTGTCCTGGCCTCCTGATCTTATTAATGACCCAGCTGCATGTCAGATATACTTTAAAAGGGGAGATTTTTCTGTTTCTGTCTTTTCTTTATGGTGGATCCTGAACTGGCCTAGACCTCCTGCCTCTCCCTTTTGTTTGAAGACTTTCAAACTGAAAGCATTAAGCAGCTAGTGCCCTCTGTGGGGTCTAGTTTCCCCTGGGAAAGGCAGAGAGAACCAAATACCAGAAGCCTGTCACCATTATTATGGCCACTAGGTCTCAGGAGACGGGGGAGGAGGAAAAATGTTTTCTGTATAATAGCATTTTACTTAATTCTTTCCCTTTTCTCAGTTCTTCCTTGCCTATAACTAATGAAAATTTTGGGGACAGAAACAATTCTTTTTAAAGTCCTTTTTTGGGGATTTAACATATTGGGGCTGGAGGGAGCTTGCTGCTTTCTCCAGAATAAAAGAGTCTCAATTTGTATATCAATGTTAAACAACGTGAAAACTTAGGTGAGATTTTTGTTGGCTGTTTTAAAAATGTGTCATTAATATAAAATTCTTAATGTTAGTAGTATTTAATCATTCTCACATGTAAAGAATAAGAAAAACAAGGTAAATATTCTTACAGAGAATAGCAGAGCTTTAAGATTCATTTTCATTTTAAGTCTTTGTTTTGCCAATGTATTGTTTAGAGGTTTGTTATACTAATGTTATTTATTAATTCACTTATATACAGTTAACTAAAGAGCTTTTTCAAGCACCCATGTCTGTAAAAGTATTTTTAAATAAAATTTCTTTTGCTGTAGCTGACTTGAGTTCTTGCTCTTTTGTTGGGGTGGAGGAGTGATACATCAGGCAGATATGGATCTACTTAGCAAGTCTGTACTACTACCTCAAGGACAAGTCTCAGTGACAGCAACCTGTAGAAAAAGGGCAACAGCTCCTTGTCAACAGCCTGCCAGGTCCTGTGGGCTGCCTGGACCAGGGCAGCTCTGCTGCTGAGTGGCGAGGTTGTCCTCTATGCTAGGGTTTAAGCCATTTGCTCTGCTGCCAACTGCAAAAAGTGTGTGTTCCTTTTAGTACCATTCCAATTCCAGAGGCCCCAGTCTGCTGTGGTCCCCATAATGAATAAAAAACAGCGTAAGATTTCTGGGACAATTAGGCTTTATTGTGTGTGTGTGTGTGTGTGTGTGTGTGTGTAAAGGAAACCATTTGCAAATTTACACACAACAAAACCACACAAACACACACAGATACACATACATACCCCAAGCTCTGGCCAAGCCCCTGGTTCTTATCCTTAAAGTATCATCTTCCCATTAAGCCCCTTCTTTTGTGGTCTATGCCCATTAGCTCAGTTTGTAGAAGTTTGATGCTAGTATAACTATAACCTTATTAATCCCCTTAAAGAACCATGTGGACCTTATCTCATCTCTGTGCCTTACTCTCATTTTCAATCATGATTATGAGAGCCAAATGAATATAGAGGCTTGCACTCAATGGGCTTAACTCTGGAAAACAGTGCACAGTTTCCTTACTGCAGGGACAATGAGATATAACCAGCAAGTCTTTTAAGGAATGATACTAGTTCCTGGCTTCTGCCCAAAGAAAGGAGTGTCATAAAAGGGACTCCAGAGACAGGCAGGCAGGCAACTGCTTCTAGATCCTGCTGGGGTACTGTCTAGAACTGGTGTGCACAACACACTTCACCAGTGGTGAGGGGGCTTGGGCTCTCAGTGCATCCTCATATCATTGATACAACTGCATTATGAAGCCAACATTGGGGCAGTAAATCACTTCAAGATAAACAGGCTACCTACTTCGATAGCTGTTGATAGAAGAAGGGTATTTACTTCCATAGTATGTGTAAAGAGAAAACATGTTCTGCAAGAAACTCTCCTACCCACTCCTGGAATATTGAGGCCCCTCCTTGCGATAAGCATCACTCAACAAATTGAGACTGTGGCAGTGTGGCCCCTGAGCCATCTGAGGTCCTTCTCAGTATGGCTCTGGTCCTAGCCCTTTGGCCTTATGAAATGTGGTCTGTGGGTAAGCTGGAGTAGGAGTCTTCTCTGCCGTCCACTTTAGAGGCATTGGTGACCATCCCGAGTGCTGGGGATGAGAGTGAGTAGGGAACAGGACATGTCCAGGCAAAAAGAGGAAGAGTTCAGTATGATTCAGTGACTAGTGCCTCAGATCGATGTATTTCTCTCCCTAAAAATGGGGGAAGAAAAGAGGAATGTGGAGATCGTGACCAGAGTTCAGGGTGTGAACACTAAGGAGGGAGGAGGGACTGAAGCAAAAGCTGATGGACTAGGTGTAGCTGTCTGGAGGGAAGAAGCAGGGGTGGGTATGGCAGGGCCAGGAAGGAACCTAGGCCCCTAAGTCACACCTCATGACCTGAGCCACAAGTATTGTTCAGGAAATAGTGATGGTGATGGTATGGGTCTTTGCTCTCAGTCCTGGGAGCTACCCTGTCCAGGATCCCTCAGCCATGTCCCCAGCCCTACCATCTGTAAATAACTGTTAAGGAGGGCAAGATGTGGTCTGCTCCCAATCTCCAGCAGAAAAGAATGAATAGAAAGTGTTGGGGGAAATGAGAACCATTAGCTCCTGTTGTTGCCAATCCCTGAAGTTGCATCAAGCACTGGCCATTGGAACTGCCTCCTACCTGGTCTCCTGGAGCTCTCTTGTCACCGTTGCTGCCCTGAAGGAGGCCCATGTCTTCTGGGCGCTTATCTGACTTAACTTCAACTACAAATTCGCTCTTACGAGATGGGGGCAGCGTTCTGGCAGGAAGAAGGGAGGCAAGAGGTTGGCAACCCGGCAAGGGAAGGACAGGGCCCTTGGGAAGGACATTGGGCTGAGTGATGGGCTCTTTGGTGCTCTGGGGCCAACGCAGAGAAGGGAAATAGGTACTGAATGAAAGGGAGAAAGTATGATTGATGGAAGCTTGGTAGTGGGCAGTAAAACAGAGAGCACTCAGACCCAGTGCTCCACTCCTGCCCCGAAGTGGTGAGTAGGTGCTGCAGCAAGCAGGGAAACATCCCAAGGCAGCAGCAAGCTGGGTAACACAAGATGGGGTAATGAGCAAGGGGCTAGGAACCATGCTTACATCTCTTGTTTGCCTGACCTCCCACAAGGCAGCTTGCCCTTCTTGTAGAAGAAATAGAGGACAGCACCCAGCACGGCCAGGACCAGGAGGCACACGGTCACAGCCACGATGACCACACCCTTGCTTTTGGGCTCTGGCAGCTTTTTCTCTGTCCCACAAAGACACTCCCATTCACTTCCTGCCCCAGGCTGTGCATTTCCATTGCTGCTCCACCCAATCAAAGGCTGAGAGAGAGGGGCTGTGCTTACCTTTCTGGATAGGGCTTTCCGGGGACAGTCAAGGCACAGTGAGGATGCCCTGGTACAGCCCTGTTCTTGGGCCAGGCCTAGCTTACCTGTGGAGGTGCTGTTGGCTTTGGCATAAGGACTGACAGTGGAGGTGATGAGATCAGTGGTTCTGTTGGAATCTGGTGGGAGAACAGTTAGATGGATTGGGACAGGGGGTTGGAAAAGCCTAAGTTGGTGCCCTTGCCTCAGCATGCCCCGACATGCTCTGCAGGCCAAAGCCCGTACCCAGCTCCAGGAAAATGATGGTGCTGTTTTTGCCCAGGGAGTTGGAAGCCACGCATTCAACACCCGTCTCCAACAGCTCTGGAGTCACAAGGACACTCAAGATGCTCAGGACACTCTGTGAATCTTGGTCTTGTTCATTTGCCTACAAGGAAGGAGCAGCTCAAGGGGCAGGGAGGATGTCCAGCCATGGCAGCAAAGCCTGGGCAGGGATCAATGAGAGCACGGAAAGATGAGATGTGCCTGCTCACCATGCCGCCAACATTCCAGGAGATGCTAGGCCGAGGATGTCCTGAGGCTTCACAAGACAGATTCAACATTGTGTTCTCCTGCACCTGCATCTTCCTCTCCTTTAATGCCACCCATGGGGGCCCTGGAGAGGCAGCAAACTCTGCTAGCCTATTTCTCCCCGCCCCCCACCCCCCAGAGCAGTCCAGGGTAGTGAGTGGTTTTATGTCCTCAAACTTGAAACACCCAACTTGGGGTGGTTCCAAGGGCCACCTGATCTGTGCCCAAAGGGCCTCACCCAAGATAGCCACATTCACCAGCTGTGTAGAGTTCAGGCCGGGCACGCTGGGCACAGACGCCATGCAGCGGTAGCCTCCCCCTGCCTTCCGGTTCAGGTTGTGTAATTGAAGCACAGGCCCCTTTCCCAGCACCTTGCCTGTCTGGGGTGAGAGACATGTCAGAGGCTACTCCCTTCTCCATCCACCTCCACCCACTCCAAAACCCCAGGGCCACCTGGGTACCTTTTCTCTCAGCCACTGGAATTCAAGGGCCTGGTTACTCTCTGCCCCACAAGTCAGGGTGAGGTTGCTGCCCTCTTGCTTTTCAGGGGCTGCAGGACTCACCCAGACATCAGACACATCTGAGGACAGCAACAGTGTCAGCATGTGGAGGGCAGGGTGGGCAGATTCCCTTTTGCCACAGCCCAGTCCCCCTGTATTGGGCCCTCAGCTCCTCACAGTTCACCAGGAGCTCCTGTTGGTCACTTGACAGTAATGCCATGGTTTCCAAATCCAGGCCCTGACATTCGTAGAGCCCGCTGTGCTCCTTGTGGACAGACTTCAAGACCAGGACTCCATTGTCATCGACTGCCTCCTCCACCACCTCCCTGGTGCTGAGGTTCTGGGAGAGGATGCAGGGGTGAGTGGAGTGTACCTCCATCCTTTCTATATCCTTGTCTGCACCCCATGAAGCCCTCTGCACCTGCTTGCTGATGCTGAAGTGGGGTGGGGGATTGCCATCAGCCAAACACCTGATTTCCACACGGTCCCCTTCCTTCAGCACTCCCATAGGCTCCACTTCCAACCACACTTTCTCTGCTGGGTCTGCATGGTAAAAGGGTAGCTCTCAGCCCACATTGCCCATGCCTAGGTATAGAGAGACTAGCAGGCGTCATCCCCAGGCCTAGCCCCAATTCGACCGATCAACACTCACAGAAAACAGGGACAGAGACTTCCCCAGATTCCTTCATGTGATTCCCACTGGGCAGCCGGTAGTTAAGCTCACAGTAAAACTGGGCATCTTTGTCCTCCTTAAGCAGCTGTGCCTTCAGAATACTGTGCACAGTATACAGACCACTTGACTCCACAATCTGCGATGACTGAATGTGGACCCCTGGGCAGGGAGGAAGGGGAAAAGGGCTTGGCCTCAGCCCTACCACCATGGTCTTCCTGGGGTTGTCACAGGAGATGTAAAGGGACCCCTATCACCTTAGAGGGCCAGGTACAAATGGCAAACTGTAACTTCTCAACCCAGCAGTTTCACTGCTAGATATCCACCCCAGACAAACACACATGGGCACACACAAGGATGTGTGAAAATAATGCTGCAATGATGAAAAAGAGAAATGAGGAAACACTATAGACATCTACTAACATGGGCATGAATGAAATCCTGGGCAGCCAGGGTAAACAATTAGGTAGATATAAATAGACTGAGCTGTAAAGATTTCTAAGACTTATTGTAAAAAGAAAAAACTGTAACAGTGTATACTATACAATACCATTTATATCAGGGTTTCTCAACCTCAGCACTACTGAAGTTTTGGGCCAGATAATTCTTTGCTATAGGGATTGTCCAGGGCACTATAGAATGTTTAGCAGCATCCCTGACTTCCACCCAGGAGATGCCAGTAGCCCATCTCCTTGCCCCAGTTATAACAACCAAAATGTCTCCAGACGTGACCAAATTTCCCAGAGGGGGAGCAGAATCACCCCTGGGTGAGAACCACTGATTTATATAAAAACAAAAGCCTATCTATTCCTAGATTTATTTTCCTATGTGAGTAAGCATATAGAAACAGGCTTGAAAGAACACAAACTAATCAGTAGCAGAGATTAATTCTGGGGCAGGGGCGCTAGGTCTGGGGCAGGAAGGAAATCTTCCTTTTAGATTATCTGTACAGTTTAAATTCTTATGTAAATATTTTCAAGTATCACTTGTGTACTTAAAAAAAAGTAAAATAAAATGTAAGGTGGTCCCTGTGTGGCACCATAAGCATGGTTTTTAAGGGCCAAGAGGGCTACTCACGGTTCTTCTCTTCCTTCAGAGGCCTGCCATTCTTGTACCAGATGACTTGAGGAATGGGGTAGCCATTTCTTGCCACACAGGTAGCAACCTTAAGAACAGAGTGAGTTGCCACTGAGACCCTACAAAGCCCTACAGCTCCTCTTACCACCTGGCCACCTTGGCATATCTCACCTCCTCTGGCACCCTACTGCTCACAGAAATGCCCAAGGCATTGGCCTGGATGCTTGGCTCCTCTGGAGCTTCTACAAAGGAGAGAAATGAGGAGAGGCATGGAAGTAGCACTACATTGACCCACACTGCCCACAAGGCACAGGTAGGGCACTCACTGTATACACGGAGCTGGAAGCGGTGCTCCTGGGACTGAGGGCGCTTGCCCTGACACAGAAAGATGTGCTCATCATGGGGGGTGACATGTGTCAGAGCCAGAGTAGTCCCTTTGTCCTGGAGGCTGAGCCGGTGCTGGTACTCCCCAGGTTCACTCTGACCATGGCCCTGGTACACACGGAAGATGAGTATTGGCTTCTCCTTGTGGACCTAAGGAGAGGCAATAGGGGAAGGGCGTCCTGGGCTTCATGAAGGGTAGAGCTCCCCTACTGATGCCCTTTCTGGAGCCCCAGCACTCACAGAAAACCAGTCGACGACATGGCTGAAGTTGCCCTGGGAATGGGAGGGACCACACTTGAGTAGGGCTGTGCTGCCCACTTCCACTTCCAGCAGCTCAGGCTCTGGCTGCTCTGCCACTCCAGGCACACCTGGGGGTGAGAGAAGGAGTGTGCCTGGGGGTGAGAGGAGGAGCACCCCAGCTGTGTCAACTCCAGCTGCTTTCCAGGCCCTCACACTGCTGAGTTGTTCTTCTATCCTCTTCCAGTATCTGAAGAGAGCCCTGTGCTTTCCTAACCCTCAGCCACTCTCTACCCCTTGCCTCAGGCCAGCCCTCTCTCAGTTCAAGGGAGTTGGGATGGTCATCTTTGGTCACTGGAGCAGAGACTCTGGGTGCCAGGCACCTCTATGATGAGGCTGGCAGAGAAGGCAACCCACGCTCTGGGCCAAGAGGAATGCCCTTTTCCTTCCAGGCCCCCTCCTCTCTGAGTGAGCTCAGAGTGTGGGAATGTAAAGCATGTGCCAAGCTGGGGCACACAGGCCCCTTTGTGTCACCTCAACCAGGGGAAGACATCACTACTCTACCCTTTGACCCCCTCCCCAAACCCCTCCCCAAATCTCCCATAAGACCCACAGGTCCAATCCTCACCCAAAGCTCCCCTTTGATGATTAGGAAGCAGCCCTCTGTGAACATCCGGCACACAGAGGACCCTGTCCTGGGAGTCTTGTGAGTGTGGAGGGCTCAGAGTCTCCCCCAGGGTCAAGACAAGGGCCAGGAAGCGGGCAAAAGTGATGTCAGTGGTGCCTGCATGCTGCCCACTCTGGAGGTGATGTCATTCAGTCCCCTCTGCCTGGACTCTGGGTGGTTGTTCTGGTCTGGCTCCCAGACAAGGAAGACAGATGGAATGGTCTTTCAGCCCTCAGCAGAGGGCTCAGATCCCTGATTCCATTTCCCCAGATGTAGAAGAGCAGGGCAGGGTGAGGCTGGACCTGCGGCTGCTGTAGAGCCTGATTTAGCCCTTTCCCCAGAAATACAGTCACCTTGGGAGGCAGCAGACCGGGTTACCCCAGGGATGCTATAGGCACTGGGCATGCGGCCAGCAAGCTAGGTATTGCCTAGCTCTCCCCTTCCACAGCCAGACAGCGGCTACGATTTGGGAGAAGGAGCCAAAAGAAACATGCAGCACCGCTGCGGGCCATACAAGGGCAACAAGGACCCGGGAGCTCCCAGCTCCTAGTAAGTTCGTGCAGGGGTGCTCTTCCCATTTGTACATGGTCTCATTCCCGGAGGTGTAACAGTTTGGGGCGCTTCCACTTTAGGAAGCCTCAATCCCTCGTGTCTGCTAGCTGTGATACCGTCACCGGGGTAGGTATGAGGCGACCCACACCGCCCCCTAGCCCCTGCTAACGCCCAACTTGGGCGAGAGCCGCCGTCCATCCCCTCTTCTACATCTCCAGCCAGACTCGAAGCCCAGGCGGGAGAGCGTGAGGTTGGCACACCCTCTGCAGCTAAAAAAGCTGTCTTTTCCAGCAACAGGCGGGAGCGGAATTCACGATTTGTGGATGATGTTCTCTAGCTGTGCATCCCTGTCACCGCTCCAACTGCGGGCCCCACAGAAGGACCTGAGGAAAAGCTCTCTGGACGCCCCAATAGGCTCCGCTCCACCCCTTCCCGCGCCGGGCCGCAGCCTCCTCCCGCGTCTCCACTGTCGCTTCCGGGATACTCGAATACAGGCTGCAAAATGGCTGAAAATAGAGTGGCTTGCGCTTAAGGCACCTGGTGCCAGGGACCTGAGAAGGAAGGGCGCATGGCGGGAGCGCAAAGCTTTGTCCCCTACCGCAAGGCCAGCTACGGCTATTCAGGGTACGGGTCCCCCAGTGACCTCACTCACCCGCGGCGCGGCCACAGCAGCAGCAAGCGGCCATCAGGAAAGCGCAGAGGAGCCTGGACAGCCCCATACTTCCCCTCGGAGGGCCAGCGCTTAGTGAGAGAGCTCGCGACTGCCCGGGCTGACGTCAGGGGGAGGGAGAGGGGGAGAGGGTGGAGAGGGCCTTGCTGGTCTGCCCTGCCCGTCCCCGCACCGCAGCCCCCAGCCCCTCCCAAGGCGCTGCATCAAGGGATGCGAGAGTCGGCCTCCCAGCCCCGACCTTGGGAAGGGTGAGGGCCAGGGACAGGTGTCTCAGGCCCGACTGACTAGCCTAGGCGGTATCAAAGAGAAGCTGGGCGGAATGGCCAGAGTCTCTGCGGTCAGGACCAACAGCGCTCACCACCGCCCTCCTCACTCCCGGCTCAGCTCCTACCAGCAAGTGCAGCTCTGAGGGACCTCCTGGCGGAGGCTCAACTAACCGAGGCATTGCATTCAGGATCCTCTCTCTCCCTCTCCTCCACCCCGCCGGACCCCTGCCATAGGAAAAAAAGGTGATTGTACTATTGCGGCTGCCGCCGGCCTGGCACTGCCCCCACGCCTGACAGTCCTGGCATCTTTGAGGGAAGAACCCTGGGCCGGATCCCACATAGACACAGAGGTACCTGTACTGGGGAGTGGAGATGGTGCCTTTGGGCTGTTCCTTCAAACCCAAGCTACTGCAGGTTCATCCTGGAGTAGAGAAAGGAGGCAGGGAGCTGAATTCACAGGCCCAAGGTTTTCACATTTGTCCAAGCCAAGGCCTCGACAGTTGTGTTTCTGCCCTCTTTGCTCATTAAGTGCCTAGGGTGGGACTCAATTTCCCTTCACCTTAATGGAAAGAGGGAAAGAAAGAGTTTAGTGGGTACAAGGCTATGCCAAGCGCTGGACTGGGGGCCTGGTGCCAGGGGCCAGGGGGCATAGAGAAAGAAGAGGACCATGGTTCCCCATCCCCCACAGTGAATATATGGACTGGCTTGGGGCCTGTAGTGGAATGGATGAGTTTTGTTTGTCTTCAGGGGCAGCAGTGGGAATGGCTGAAGGATGCTATTTGCCTTGGCAAGCCCAGAGCTGGGCAAACAGCTTTACTTCCCTGCCCCTACCCCCTTCCCTTCACTTAACACCATTAACTAATCATTCTCTTTTCTTAGGCCTGAAGACAATGCCAGCTAACCACCAATGACAGTCAGTGCCCTGAGGAAAGATAAGCCAGATGGGGTTAGAGGAACTGGCTCTGCAGTGAAGGGAAAATGAAGTTAGAGCCCAGGGTGACATCCCTTCCTGGCATTGCCCCACCAGACAAACACAGACTGTCCTTTAAGGAAGCCAGTAGCTTGGAGTGATGTGAATTGCCAGGGAGCAGACATCTTTGGGATGGCTTAATAAGGGGCGCATTTTGGGATTCCAAACCAAAGAGGCAAGACCTTGAAGGGAATTCAAAGGGGACTGGAAACAGGAAGAAAGGGGAGTGAAGACAGAACAAGGTACACAGAGTAGAAGATATTGGGTATCACCTCCCTGAACGTTCTGCCAGCAGAGACTCTTGCACCAGGACTGGGTTAGAAGCAGCCTTGCCCAGATATAGGCCAAGATCAGAAGAAGAGGCCCTCTGGCCAGAGTCCTAATTCTCTTTGGCTGATTTCCCTGGAGAAAGAAGGGGTAGGAATACTGCCTACCAGCACCTCATGGTAGACCCAGGCTACTCAGAGATATGAGAACCCTGTTAGAAATGTGGGAGAAATAGAGGCGGGAGGGACTGGATGATCTGATCCAAGTGCCTTTATTTGATGCTGCGCTTACAGATGGGCTGAGTCAGATCAATTGCCGCCTGGGGTGAGGGGCAGGAATGGGGTTTTTAAAAGAAACAACTCAGGATTCGTGGGGGTATAGGGGAGGGATTAGTCTCTTGTTCTTCTGGAAAGGTGCCTCAGGGTTCCAGAATGTGAGCCTGGACAGTGGGTTAGGTAAAGGGCCAGGCTGTTCACAGGTACAGGAGGGTCAGTCTGACCACCAGCCATTGTGGCTGGTGCCAGGTGTCTATTGTGAGCAGGAGAGTTTTGATTGAGCCTCGGGCTACTGAGTGAGTCAGGACAACTGAGTCCTGGGCAGTCTGGGGTGTTGGAAAACTTGCCTGACTCTTTCAAACCCCACTGTGTGAAAGGCTCTCTGTTGTGTCTCTGGCATGGGTGTGATGGAGGCTGGGTGGGATGATGGCCGTATTCTAGGTACCTCAGCTAAAGTCTCCAGGGTGAGTGGGTCTTTCATTCATTGTAAGGAGAAGTGGAGAAAAGTGGAGCCCAGCTCCAGTGGAGCTGGAGGTAAAAATACAAGGACGGGCCTGCCCCCAGGGGCTCACCTGGGTGAAATTTGAACCTAGGAGCTGGGTTCCTAGCTCCTCAGCTCTAGCATGGTGGACACAATGGCCTCCCACCCACCCCTCTGGTCCAGGGACCTCAACCAGGAAGATGTAAGAAATGCAGGCTAGGCTGACGAAGGAAGCTGATAAAGACAAGTTTGCAGGTGCAATGAGGAGCTGGGAATGGAGGGGGTGGCCCAGTAATCTTGACAATTATGAAGGCTGTGGAACCCCTTGGACTGGCCAGAAAATAGGGTCCAGTCTGGGTTGGAGAGGTAGGAGAATTTTTCCAGAATGGGGGTCTGACTTGGGAATCGACTGTACTGAGGAGTAAAAAACTGGGTGGGAGCAGTTGTTGCTGAAGACAACATCAGGGCAGGAAACCGGATACTGGGGCTGGGTGGAAGATGTGGGGAAGAGATTGAATGGGGGGAAGCAGCTCCTATCCTGGCCTCAGCATCTGACCCAGGGTAGGAGGAAGGTGCTGCCTGGATTGAGGTGTGCCTCACAAACACTGTGGAAGAGGAAGGTGGTGATTTGGGGGGATGGAAGGGGCTATTTTTAGACTTGGAAAAAAAGTGAGTTCATCTCCACCCTGAGTGCTTGAGTCCGCAAAGGCCCCATTGTACAGGGGTCTAGAGAAGGAGAGGGGGAAGGGCAAGTGGCACAATGATGAGGATTATGTTGGAGTGTAGAGTAGGGTGGGAAAGAGGGTCTTCTTCATAGCTGGCTTACTGAACTCCGGGGTCCAGCCAGGCTGGGGTTTGGACAGGAGGCTTTTCCACACAAAGTCCCCTTTTGGGGTACCAGGGTCTCTGGCATCACTGGCCCATCATGGTGAGGGAGCTGAGGGTGGGATTCCCATAGCCTGGCTTTCCCAGGGACTTCAGGGTCTGTTCCCAGGCTCCCAGCATTCCAGTGACTCCCATGGGACCTTGCTGGCCTCTACTCTCATCCTCTTCCCTGCCAGGGAGTGGGGAGAGAGAAGGGGAAAGAGGATGTGGATGTATAGGGACTTTTCCTGAGGAGTAGGCACCCTTAAGCCAGAGGAAGGGGGCAGAAGTGGGTGGGTGGTGGGTGCTGATGGTGGTCACAGCCCACCCATTCTATTCCACACCCTGCTGTGCTCTCGGAAAGGGGACTGTCACTCTTGTCCCCTCTGACCCCAGAGGCCACTCCACATGGACAGTCCTCCAGCACCCAATGCCCCAGTTCAGGGAGTCCCGTGGCATTCTAACACTCCTTGTTCCCCGTCTTGCCTAGCCCTGGCTGCGGGGAGGCGGGGCATCCGCTGCCGCTGCCGCAGTCCGCACTAATCCAAATATTACCATAAATGCTCAGGTTGAGCTGCCCGCAGAGGGAGGGGCTCCTGCTGGGGATTCTGGGTCCAGGAAACCTCGAAACCTGTCTGCTGTCCTTTTTTTAGCACAAGCCGGCAGCGAGAGTCAGTCTGCTCCCACCCCACTCTGGAAAGTGGTCCAACAGAGTTGGGGGTGGAGTTGGGCAGAGAGCCATGTGTTGCCTCCTGCGGGTTGCCTCCTGCGTGGGCAGTGACCTGTGATCAAGAATAGAACCTTCCAGCCCTGAGTTCAGCACTGGGACCGGTGAGGACTTTGGGGTCTCCCTCCATCTCTGCAGAACCCAGTCTTGGGGCCTGTAATAATGGGGCCTTCTGCCCCCAATCTTAGGTCTCACTTCTCTGGACTCTGAGGGCCTAAATCTTTCCCACCTGCTCTTCCCATCCAAAATTTGAAGAGTGGAGCATGTTGAAAAGAGGGTTGGGAACAGGATACTGGGAGTTTACATCTCTCCCCATCACGAAAATTCACATCCTCTCCCCAAAATACCATCATCCAGGGGGAGGAATGTCCCCAGAGAGCTGTTTAAATTTGACTGACTTTTCCCTGAGAAAAGGCCAGCTAGTCTACAGGAGAGGAGTCTATGGGAAACCTAGGAATGCCAGTTTTGGGTCTCCTGGCCCCCCTCTTCCCTGAAGACCACTTCTGCATTTGTTTTTCCTTCCACACAGAGCTTGGTGCCCTGGGGGAAGGAGCCTTGTTTCACTCCAACCTGGTGGGGCTTGTGATCTCCACTAAGGTTTCGGCACCTGATCTTGGAGGAAGGCAGATTGGTGAGAGGAAAGAGAAGACAGCAGGCAAGCCTGGGGCCTGCTCCCTGCCTCCTTGACCCACATTCCCAGTGGCTGGGCCTTCAAGAGAACTTGAAAAGTGGAGAGAACACAGGATTTGAAGTCAGCGAAAGTCCCAGACTAGATCAGACCAGTCTGTGTGCTCCTGTGGCACTTTTCCTTTACATCCCCCATGTAAGGGGATGTAAAGCAACTGAAAGTGCTTGCTCAACTTTGGTTTCAAACACCTAGCTGTAAACTCCAGGAAGGATCTGGTGGCTTTGAGGCACCGTTGCCACTTAGTTAATCTCGGGCAACTGACTGAACAGTGACTGTTCAGAGGGAACGGGGCAGTGCTAGAATAAGGAAAGAAGCGACTCATATTTAATGTATGTACAGTGCTTTGCAATGTAGATGTTTCACTTATGAGTCATTTTCATTGCTGATATTTATCTTGATCTTTGCAACAAAAAATGAGACCAAAGGACAAAGAATTACATGAGTTAAAGTCACACAGCCTGTGAGTGATGAAACTACATTGTTTTATTGTGATAAAATACACGTAACAAAAAAGTTACCCTTTTAATCATTTTAAGTGTACAATTCAGTGGCATGAAGTACGTTCAAA